CGCGGGGGGCCGGGGGAGGGAGCAGAGTGAAAGGGGAGCTCTCGCGTGTGAATGGGAGTCTTTGTGAGCCGCGGAGAGGGAGAGGGGAGAGCCCAGAGCCCGCAGAGAGTTGCCCGGGCTCGTTAGAAAGAAGGTGGCTTCGGGAACAAAGGAGATGCTGGCCGTCCCGCAGAGAGGCTGAAAGGAGGGACGGAGAGCAGGCACGCCGCTTTTGTCCGTGACATCTGGAGGAGAAATGTGTGCTGGAAGGGGGGCAGGGAGGCACAGGACCAGTTCTATCTGTCTGTCAGCCCTGCTCTCCACTCACACACAGGCACATGGGGCCCAGATGCACCTGACTGTCCCATCACACCCAGCAGCACCACCTCTGTCTGTCTGCGGTTCCCCTGCGCAGTACCACCCCCCCTCAGGCTCTCCTTCCCCTCCTCACCAGAGACAAGCGAAGAGAGAGCTACCCTACTCAACCTGCTGTCTGTGTGGCTCCTAATGCCCCAGTATAGTGACTGGGACACTATGCTGTAAAAAGCCGCTGTCCTTCGGATGAGATGTAAAACCGAGGTCCTGATTCCCTGTGGTCATTAAAAATCCCAGGACATCTCTCGAAAAGAGTAGGGGTGTAACCCCCGTGTCCTGGCCAAATTCCCCCCTGGCCTGTACCAATCATGGCCTCCTAATAATCCCCCTCTCTGAACTGGCTTCATCACTCTGTTCTCCTCCCCACTGAGAGCTGGTGTGTGGGGAGAGGACTGGTGCATCATCCAGGTGGGGCTGCACATTGGTGCTGGTGGAGGGGAGTCCCCATTACCTGTAAAGCTCTTTGAGTGGAGTGTCCAGAAAAGCGCTATATAAGTGTTAACAATTATTATTATTACTACCGCCAGGGCGCTGGAGGATTTAAGCTTCCAGCGGGATGGAGGGGCGCCCTCTGGTGGCTGTCAGAGCAAAGTGCCCAGCGAGGGGGGTTTCTGGAGGACCACAGGGTGGCTGCGTTGGGATCGGGGCTGGATGGCACTCTGTCGGCAGACAGCGGGTTCGAAGGCGGACTGTGTGCCATCTGCCCCCTCCTTCCTTGTCCAGGGAGTTAGTCGGCGCACCTGTGTGGTGATCAGAGCACAAGAGACACTACTGACTGCTTCTGTCAATAAGCACCCAGAGGCCCTGGTGGCACAGCGGCGCGGCCGAGAGCTCGTCGCCCTCTTCCCGGCCCTGAGTGGTTTGGGATTTGTCCTGGTTTGGAAATGATTGAACATGACTTGGAACAATACACCCGAACGAGAGAAATTATTGTTATGTAACTGTTGCCTCGTCTAACCTTAACGGGATGTGAGCATATATACTGTTTTAGGTATATATATATCAAAGTAAAGTTTTCTAAGTTGTGATTCCCTGTATTTATCTGTGAATAAATGGCGCCCCCTGACCTCAGGGCTGCTGTGCTGCGCTGGAGTCACTCTCTCAGCCCAGGCCCTGGCGGACGTCCACACCGCTGGGGTTTCACACACTGGCATCACTGGCTCACAGCCGCGCTGGGGACAACTACATGTTGTACCTCGGTTACAATTCCCAATCTCCTGTGCTGCTGCACAAAATCGACAAGAGCACATCACTTTCAGGGGGGCCGGAGCCCATCCCAGCAAGCAGCGGGTGCAGGGCAGGGCACACCCTGGGCGGGACGCCAGTCCATCACAGGGCACACACACAGACACTCGCACCAGGGCCAGGTTTGCTAGAAGCCAATGAACCTGCCAGCATGTCTTTGGACCTGTGGGCAGAAACCAGAGCACGTGGAGGAATCCCAAGCGAGCCAGGGGAGAACATGCAAACTCCACACACACAGCACCCCAGGAGCTGGAGCCAGAGTTGAACCCGGTTACCATGCCGTCACCAAATTCGCACAATGCTGGGGGGAGGGGGGATCAATTCACACAGGAACAAGTAAAGGTTTTATAAAGTGTGGAGTGGTGGCTCTATGGCTAAGGATCTACGCCTGTGGCTGGAAAGTTGCTGGTTCAAATCCTGCAGCTGACAGAGGAGTTCTCCTCCTTTGGGCCCCTGAACAAGGCCCTTAACCCCAACTGCTCCAGAAATGCTGTACAAATGGCTGACCCTGTGCTCTGACCCCAAGCTCCTCTCTTGCAAGTTGTGGTATGTGAAAAGACAAATTCCTAATGCAAGATGTTGTATATGGAAAAGAGAAGAAACTCGGGACACACCAGAAGAAGGCTCTACAGCCAAAACGTTGTTTCTTTTCCTCTCTTTTCAGCAGGGAATAAACCTTTACTTTTTCCAGTGCAGCCTGCACATACTGACCCAGCTGCCTACTTGAACTTCTATCAATTTATACAGTCTTCGATACAGTGATCTGCAGAATGGAGTGTGTATAATTGCCACGTCAAGTAACTACATCCTTCTAAACTAAGAAAGGAGTCCCTGACATCAGTAGTAACTTGTCTGAAAGCACGGGAGGCGCAGACGATCACCAGTCTGTTCTTTGGGATTTGCCGGCGACACGATGATCGGAAGCTTGTAAAGAAAACACTTGAACAGCAGTTCTCCTGGCCGCCAGCAGAGGGACCCTCGGCTCCTGAGCTACCGATTCTCAGAGCTCAGGCTGGAATAGCGTCGCCCTCTGGTGGGCATTCCCTAGAACTGCACTAGAGCCACGCAAGTGTACTAAGGGGCTGGCATACTCTTGCCAGCTAGTGGGCTCTCCGTCGTGACGCTAAACCACGGTAAACTTGCATGATATCTTGCGCACGAATTTAATTTCTTTTCCCAGAGCTGGTCTCCAGAGTTTTATGAACTTGTCTCGTACGTTATCGTTTCCCTTCATTTGACCAGGTAAGTCGATTGAGAAAGTACATTCTCAACCGCCATAACCACCATGAAGACTGAAGCAGCTGTTGCTGAAGGCTTCAAACGTCCAGTCCCGCTGAGACTCGGACCCTCGACCTTCCAGTCCGCCGACCCAGAACACCGGCGTAAATCTTTTCTTAAAGACCGTGGTAAACTGCAGGAAGCTTCTGCGAGATCTGAGTCAGTCAGCCGAAGGTTGACACCTGAAGAAGGCTCCACGGCCGAAGCGTTGTTCTCTTTCTCCTCTTTTCGGCATAGAATAAACCTATTAGTTGTTCCTATATAAAATTGATATTTCGGGCGAAATACCGACGGGGAAAGCGAAACGCATGCTGGGCGCCTCTCCAAAAGCTTCGACTGATTTACCCTTCCAGGCGGCGGCGCTGCGGAGACGGCGTCGCCTCGGGCTCCGCGAGACGGCGGCACGAGCTTTGAGGATGTCGACGACCTTCCGAAAACCAAATGTCAGGAGCAACAACTCTGCGGGCGCATGGTCTCCGCGGAGACAGTCGCACCTACACCTGCCCCGTCCCATGGAGGCTCCGATCGCAATCTCCATCGTGTTTACGAGAAGCCCTGTTCCCGGCGATGTTTTATCTTCGCTCTACAATCGTTACAAATGGACTTTTGTTTGTAAGGCTGCTTGTTTTTGTTATGGCTGTGTGCGTTTCGCGTACTCCTCTTCTCGCACGCCACATGTTTTTTTTTAAAAAAGTCTCATCTCCCTGCGTAATCGTGCCAAACCGCACCGATTTGTCTGAGCCGCCGGAGCTCAGCTCAGACCGCCTCCACCGGCTGTTTTTCAGCCTTAACGCCTTCTAACCCTTTTTTTTAATTATCGCTTTAAGAAAACATTGTATTCCTTGTAAAAATCAGAAAATGTGTGTGGGCTTGTACTAAACGTTCCCACAGATATTACGCCCCTGACAGATGAAGTGGGGACGTGGCCGCAGAGGACACGTTTTTACATACCAAATGGCCTGTTCGTAGACCTACATGGTTTGCACCCCATTATCAAATTGTTTAATCCCTTTTCGCCCAACCGTCAGATAAAAGCGCTTAACAGTCAAAACAGAATGAGAATCGATGGAAAGACGAGCGTGTGTTTAACCTCTCGCACGGGTAAACTTATTGAACTGGTATGCTGAAGACATCTGAAACCGTGCCCGCGGAGTATTTGTGAAATTCGGCATTTCGTGCAGAAACCGGTCACGCAGAACTCCGGCCGAGTAGATCACTCCCAAGTCTTCAACCCAGGACCCGAGAGCCCGGGGAAACACGAACCACAACGCAGCACAGGTGCAGAAGCGAGACGGGGAGCCCTCACCCCGCTTCTGGGATCAACTCCCAAGCTGCTGCAGCCTTTACAAAAGGGAGAAAGCGTCGCCTGTTCGTGGATCAAAGCTCAAGCGCACTTCCAAGGTTCCTCAGGTCATGTAAACCACACCAGTGCCAAAAAGAAATGAGAAAAAAAAACTTTATTCAAGACCTTTAATAAATACTATACAGATCCAATGTAGAAAAATGGTTTAATACACTGATTCTGTCTTTTTTAAAAAAAAAGTTCATCACAATTTTTATAGAATTCCTTTTAAAATAGACAGCCCCTCCCTCCCCACCCATCTCCCACCCATCACCCCCTCCCCAAAGAGACAGGCAAAAAAAAAAAAGAATTATCTCTATTTCAACTGTAATACTCAAGTCATTCTGCAGTTTGGTCCGTTAACTCAGACAAACGCACACACATAAGTGACCCAACTCAACAGAGGTAGGTGATAAAACAGACACTGCAGATAAAGGAAAAAAAACCTCTCGCAGAAAGGAGAGGGGGGGGGTTTGAGAAAAGAAGCATCAGGGGAATTTCCATCCTTAGATGGAAAGCCCCCGGCTGCACATTAAAGACAGAAGAACAGGGGGAAAGCACTGGGACAGAAGACAGTGGTCAATGACAACCAGAAGAGAACACCTCCCATCTGCCCCGCCTTGTAAACGTTAATGCCTTTTGCACCCCACCCACTAGTTACCAAGCAGAACCCAAATGAGAATGGAGTCGAGCGGCCGGCGCGTTTTCAACGGGCCAGCCTCACGACTCCCCATTCCCTCCACGCGCATCTCGGGGGTCTGAGAAGGCCTTCGCCTCCACCGACCCCTCTCCCCTCAGAGACCACAGCCCCCGCCCCATCTCCTTCTCCCCGCATCCAGCGGGAGGACCGAGGAACGGGAGGCCGTCTCTGGGTGGGAAGCGCCGGAGACAACTTTCTGCCAGCTCTCCCGAGGGAGAAAATAAAAGGGGCAAACCCCCACCCCCACTCAAACCATGCAATAACGCCCGCCCCCACCCACACTGCAACCAACAGCTCACTGAAGCCACCCTGCGGCTGCAGAGCTACAACAGGGAGGCCGGAAGAGACCTCCAAGTCGGGCATCGCGCCACTGAAAGTCTCCTTCCTCTACAAGGACCCACAGCAGCCAGCCGGAAGGCTCGGCCGCAGGGAGACCCAGCTAGCTGACCACAACAGGGAGAGGGACAGTGGGAGGCCTCGGGAACAGGAGCCAGAAGCAGGCTCAAGGACAGCACAGCTAGACAGAGCCCACAAAGTGACAGGCGGGTGGCAGCACGGTCAGTTTAATGATGGGGTCCGGGCTGGGGCGAGCGGTGGAGGAGGGGGGAGAGGAGAACGGGACTGCCGGCAGCAGGGGGGAGGAGCAGGTGGACCGCCCTAGATGAGGTCGGCCACGTTCATGGGCATCTCCTCGACGGTGGTGTTGTAGAAGGTCTCGATGTCGCGGAGGGTGCGCTTGTCGTCCTCAGTCACCATGTTGATGGCCACGCCTTTCCTGCCAAAGCGCCCACCTCTGCCAATCCTGTAGGGGGGGGGGGGGGGGGGGGGAGAAACACCGGCATGGTTAACAGATACAGGCAGCCACACGGCACCACCGTGCCCAGAAAATTCCTGCTGACCAATTCATGAGTTCTCGCCACACTTGCTCTGGGGCAGGGGACGCTACATGTCCCACAAGTCAAAAACCTCTTTACTTGGAAGAGAAATCAACGTGCTCACCAGCGCCCTCAAGGACTGGAGCTGCCTTAGTGGAACAAACTGCAGTGGACTTCAAACCACCAGCACTCAGCTCCCCAAGAGCAGGGTTTGCAACTCCCCCACTGCTTAATTGTTTCAAGACACAAGGACATCTTTTCACCCCCTACCCTTGACCCCAAGTCAGTTGGGGGTATTAGCACTCATGGAGCAGGAACCCGCAGGGTCGCGGGGCTCTGTGTCCGCTACAGAGGATCACTGGCTCGAAACTCCACCCGGGTGTCCCACTAGGAAACCTGCAAGCCTCTACGTCCAGACAGCCAGGCTGAGAACAGCGGCTAGTGCCAACAGCTAGCCGCACAGCGGAGAGAACCCGCGCTCACCTGTGGATGTAGTTCTCGCGGTTCGTGGGCAGGTCGTAGTTGATGACCAACGACACCTGCTGCACATCGATGCCCCGAGCCTGCGGAAAGAGGAAAACCGAACAAAGCTCAGCCTCTCCACTTCATCCACCCTTTTAAATCACACAGCCTGGCGCAAGGACCCGACTGAGGGTCCAAGGGAGTTCACCTGCACTGTTAAAGCAGCGGTTTAGGGAAACGTCATAGGAATATTTAGCCAACAGCTTCTGAGCAGAGCATCCATATGAGTAAGGCACAAATGTAATCCTTTCTCAAAGCCTGCACTGCGAGACGTAATGGATTTGTCAGCTGCTATATAGTAGCATTTCAGGATGATTTCCCCAAGTGCTGTGGAGAGCAGCCAGATAATCTGCCAAAGACCTACGTTCCTCCTGTACCACTGAGCTGGCCACAGAGGAGAGGGATGTTCTTTGGCATATCAGTCAATAGATACTTTATTAATCCCGCAGGGAAAGTGATGAAAATACTATCGTACACTATCAATACTACTGTGGGAGAACTGATTTGAAGCCAGAGGAGCAGAGTGTCCAAGAGGGCACCCAAAGGCAACATTGTCTCAGTCTGGAAAGGTCAGCTACACATGTATACTGACAAACTGCACACCCCTGCTAACCAGAACTATACTAAGTCTCAACACTTGCGACAACAGTTCAAGACCATTTTAAAGTACTGTCTAATCCCAGAAACTCCATATGGGAATTGCAGAAGTTGAGAGATACTTGTTAGGAACTCACCAGCAGGTCAGTAGTGATGAGAACTCGACTGGAGCCGGACCGGAACTCACGCATGATGAGATCTCTCTCCTTCTGATCCATGTCTCCGTGCTGGAACACACAAGCACTAGATCAGGCCTCTAGGACCAACTAATCGAGTATGAAATCAAATAGCACAGACTATTGCCAGAAAGCACATTCCACTGCTCAACATCACTGACTGCTACACAGAGTGACAGGCATGATCACAAAGTCACTACACTCCAACGTCAGCTATTGGTGATCTGGGGACCCTCCCCCATCTGCCTATGGACAACCACACAGCTATGGAAACAGCTCACCTAGCTCCAACATCTACCACATGCTTTACGATCTGCAGATCTAGGACTTGGGAAAAAAGGCTAAGAAAGGCGGGATCGTACCAGAGCAGAGACCGTGAAGTCCCGGGCGTGCATCTTCTCGGTCAGCCAGTCCACCTTGCGGCGCGTGTTGATGAAGATGACCGCTTGTGTGATGGTCAGGGTCTCGTACAGGTCGCACAGAGTGTCCAGCTTCCATTCCTGAAACAAGGCCCCAGGTGCTTAGATCCTACGCTACAAATCCCAGCGGAGTAGTGCATTTAGTCACGGCATATGACAAGACAAACCAACATACGGAGTCTCCGTCTCACTGCTAACAAAGCTAAGGCAGTAGGGGAAGCCATGTTCAGTCTCCCTAACCACTGATCATGGTCCCAGACCCCTTAAGGCCCACTCACGCCCTCCCGACAGAACGCCGGGGGACCCAAGAGGAACCGAGAAAGATTCTGGGATCAGCTGACACGCATGAGGGATCATCATTCACAGCTCTGCCCTACCCAACAAGAGCATCTAATGAGGTCCCCTCAGAGACCTAACTAAAAGCAGGGCTACCCATTTCAGGCCAATGCCCCCTGTCCGTAGAACAGGATTAACTTTCAGAACTTCCTTGATGCAACCAAGTACAGTTACCACCTGCAAAACATTTACTTAAGAAGGCTACCCTTTCTTAAAAGAATCCAGTCTAAACAGGAAAGTTTGGATCCTTATCAAGATTGAAAATGGAGCTTAATCACAAAAGAGACTTAAATTCTCAAAACCAATGTTCAATTACCTCCTTCTCCACATTGATGTAGAACTGCCGGATACCCTCCAGGGTCAACTCCTCCTTCTTGACCAGGATCCGAATGGGGTCGCGCATGAACTTCTTGGTGACCTCCAGGACGTCGGCGGGCATGGTAGCCGACAGCAGCACCACCTGCGAGCATGAGACCAAAGGTCAAGTCACCCCACAGACACTTCAGGCAGCTCCCAAAGGCAATGGCTTTCCCCCTCCAACCCTTAAAACACAGGATCTTTACCAAACACCACCTGCCACGCAAGTGGCTCTCCAACTTGTTGCCTGTGCCCACAGCATGAACCAGGCCGCTCTCACCACGCGGAGAGAGCTGGGATGAACGTGGGTCTTTCCTCTGCCCCTGCCAGATATAAGACTCAGTGCCACTGTGAAGGCACTTCCTTGCCCAGTGACAGGGGTGGGACAGACATGCAGCAAAGCAAATGGTCATCTCCAGGTGGCATGCTGTGCTTGCAGAACCTCCAATCTTACATTGCACATGCAGATACATCGGTGCATCTATCCCAACAAGTCAATCAACTTTGTCTAAAGGTACCAGTAAAGCAAATCCTTAACTGCCACAGGATATGCAAGCCTGCCTTCATTTTAGTATTAAGGCAGAACGTCACAGCATAGAATACGAGCTCAGGAGATCCCAGAGCACAATCCAGAGGAGCACGGGGTTTTACCTGAGTGTTGGAGCTCAGCTTCTGGAAGATCTCGTAGATCTGATCTTTGAACCCTCGGCTCAACATCTCGTCCGCTTCGTCCAGCACGAACATCTTGATGTACCTGGCGGCTGAAACAGCAGGGGGGGGGGGGTTCGCACGTCAAGAGGAGCATGTCAAAGAAAGAACTCCCCTGCTCGTGTGAAGCAGTTCGAACCGATCACTACAGCACAAAGCTGCCAATAAACCCCCAATACAAGGGTCTCGCTGATGCAGGTGTTTGGTTTCACAGGAGTGCAGGAAACCCAAAGAACAGGGGGGGGGCAGGGGGGAGCTGCAGTCAGTCTAAAAAGCTATGATCACGGCCCCAGAGCCCTCCAGCCCTGATCACACCTTCACCCGACAGAACGCCAGCGAGGGGACAGGAGCTGAAGCAGGCTCCGAGATCAGTTGACACGCATGGGGATCATCATTCACAGCTCCACGCAATCACATGCCCCCCCCCCGGGAACAGCACCAAGAGCCCACCGCACCCGGCTGGACAAGCCACAAAGCGCAGTTCAGCGGGCAGAAAAAAATAAATGGACCAGCAGGTTCCACTCGGTCCGTTTGAGAGGAGCAGAAGCGACACTTACACAGGTATTTCCGGTTCAGCATGTCAAAGACGCGCCCGGGGGTGCCCACCACAATGTGGGGGGCCTCGGCCTGCAGCTTCTGCACCTCGCTGCGCACATTGGTCCCTCCAATACAGGCGTGGCACCCAGCACCCATGTAGTCCCCAAGGGCCAGGATCACCTTCTGAATCTGAAAAGGAGAGGAACCAAAGGGAGATCAGCCAACACACTCGCGTCCTCCAGCCCTTTCTGGATCATGTGCAGTTCCCCGTGGGCAGAATCCACCTGGAAAGGACAGCAGCAACTTGAGACCGTTACGGTCACAGAGAAAGTCCTGCCTCTCCACAGCATGAGCCAAAGTCACTACTGGGCCTATTTTGTTTATTTAATTCCGTACTGAACTCGAGTGATCTTCAAATGGGGATACAGAAGAAGCACGATGCCACTTTTTACCCACAGAAAAGCTCCAAACCCAACACCCCCTGGGCCCAATCGCTCACTGAAACATTACAAACAGAAGCTGGCAGGACCTCGAAACCAACTTCAGCATTTCACCGAGCCCAGGGAAGGCCAACCACAATGAGACGCTTCGACAACAACTGTGCCCACAGCATGAACCAGCCCGTTCTCACTGCCCGGAGAGAGCTGGGATGAATGTGGGCGTTTTCCCTCTGCCCCTGCCAGATATAAGACTTGGTGTCACTCTCGCAGACACCGCCTTGCCCAGTGACAGGGGCGGGACAAACATGCAGCAAAGCCCTGTTCCAGAAGTACATTCCCCAAACTGGACAGGCGCCAGGAGGTTGGGCTTCAGCATGCAGCACTGCAAGGGAAAGTGCACAAGACCTCTCCACTGCCAAATCCTTACCCCACCCCCAGAAAACCATGTGATGGTTCCTCAGTCCACACCCACGTCTCGATTCTCATCGGCCAAGGACTCAACCATGTTTCCACCTCTTAAAGCGGACAGAGGTACAAGCCTCATGGATGGGACACCTTAATCGCCACCCGTAATGTAGATGAGATCTGTACGACATCACTGCAGTTCACCCTGGCTCAAAACCTGATCTGATCTCAGCTCTAGAGCAAATGACCTTGTGCCACGCAGAAACAATAACACCCTGAAGGGATGGGGATCTCAATTCAGAAGCACACGTTCAGTTTTGGGAAAGCCCCCCCCCAGTGAGACAGTCCACAAACCTCTAGCCAGGGCCACCCCGCACACACCCAGACCAATTTTCCTTGGAAATCCAGAAAGCCTCCCCACCCTCGCCTAAGACTCCTAGTGCGCGTGACCATCAAGAGCTCACCTGCTGTGCCAGCTCTCGGGTAGGCGCCAGCACCAGGGCTTGGGTGCCCTTCAGCTCCACATCGATCTGCTGCAAGATGGAGATGGCAAACGTAGCCGTCTTCCCCGTGCCCGACTGGGCCTGGGCAATTACATCATAACCTAGGGGGAGGAAAGGGAGTCAGTCAGTGTGCTGAGAATATTTCACCTGTCCCCCATACCAGGAATGTACCTCTATAACAACTCAGAGCTTTAAAGGGGAACTGAGCTATTTTAATATTGCAGGCATAGAAAGAATCAGCATTGACAAGTATATCCAAACCATTGTGAAAGTAAAATGTACACAGTAACTTGTGAAACTTCCAATTTGCACCACACAATAGATTAAACTTCCACGCATGCGCAGCACCATGTTCTGTACTTCAGAAGAGGGGGGAAAACCTCCAGCAAGGTGAAGCAGCGCTTAAACCTAGTGATTTTGGCCCTTCGAGCCAATTTCTGCCTGGAATTTTCTCCCCTTAAATATTGTTATATCTCTGCAGCAGAACATAGCATTAGCCTGGTTCTGACCTTAAATTGAAGCTAACCCCCTTGGCTTTGACTATGAAGTCAATTTTCTTATCTCTTAATGTGTCAAATTAGCTGACAAAGATACAGGGAAAAAAAACAGCAGGCAAAAAAGTCCCATTTTTTGGTCCTCAGGGGTAAAATCGTTCCCTTTTTATGCCTGTCAGGGGCAAATGCTTGCAGGCCTTGTCCTAGGTGTCTACTAGGTTGGATAGAAATTCAGGACAAATTGATCAATTAGAAAAAAATCTACATCCTTTTGTGAAGACTGGACTTGAAATAAAAATTTCCCACCCCCAAAGTGTATAAAAGCTATTGGAAAACCAAGAAAAATATGTAAAAGGCTATTACAAGTGCTATGAAAAGACTCTAGCTACTGCTAGAGGCTTTTCTGCTGTTAGGCATTGAAAAAAAGTTTAGAGTGGCCTTCAAATGTGAAACAATGACCACAAATAAACTGATTGATTACCCCTTTCTGAGTCAATGATTGACAGCTGAAATGCAGGGAAAAGGCAGCCAAAAGCTCCCAGAGGAAGTCCCATCCCCTAAGGGCTCTGAATGGCTGAAAATACAATGAATGACAGCATTTTTCACCAACCAGACCACCTTTTTTCAGACTGTCAGCTCCAAAATTAGATTCCAATAGCCAATAACTTTCAGTCATCTCCAGAACTGGAAATGTCAGTCTAGCCTTTTATGGATATACAACTCACCTCCAAATAAGGTTTTGTTTAACAATGAAATGATACACAGGTCCCAAGTCAGATTGAGAGCTGGCACTACACCTTATGCTCATTAAGGGGTTAAATTGTATTTTTTTTTCAATGTCAATTAGTTACCAAGATTACATTAGTCCTTAAAAGTGGAACTGCAGTCCCCCTTTAATCTAAAATGCCATGGACAACAAAAGGAGACGTGCAGAGAAACAGGAAGAGACAGGCTGCCTGTGGTGCCCACTGATGTACCCAGAGCAGGCAACACTTACCCTTGATACAAGGGAGGATGGCCCGCTGCTGAATGGCAGAGGGCTTCTCAAAACCATAGGCGTAGATTCCCCGGAGCAGAGTCTCCCGCAGGTTCATCTCATCGAAGCTGTCCACGATCTCGTTCCAGTTACTCTGCAGCAAGAGGAGCGGGGGGGAGGCGTCAGCGTGCCCTTAACCAGCCCCGTGAGCCCCCATCCTGAAAGAGCGCTGCCTGCACAACACTCAGCGCACTGGAGACCTGTATCAGCGCTAAGGTGACAATTTCTAATTTCCCCCTTCCCAGGAGACTCGATCTTGCTGCTCTCAACGCCCAGGTATGCTGCACTAGAAGGAGCCCTGTATCAGGAGGAGCTTTGTACCTTTGCTACTTCACGACAACCTCAAAGCCACACTCCCAAGCGCGACCCTGTGCCCGCAGCATGAACCAGCCTGTGCTCACTGTGCAGAGAGGGCTGGGATGAACACGGGCAGCTTTGCTTTGCCCCCACCAGATAGAAGACTCAGCACCACCCTCACAGGTGCCGCCTTGCCCAGTGATAGGGGCAAGTCCCAAGAGGACAGGAACTCCAGATCTCAAGGCGTCTCGAAGAGATTTCAGTGTGCGTCCTAAGCATGTGCTGAAGACAGCGACTTGGTGCTATGCTTAGGGACCTAGCTGAATAATCAGATCTAGTCTTTAAGGTGACAGAACTAATTACCTTCTCATTCTGCTGAACTATCAAGATGTTTTAAAATCCAAGGAATGCTTTCGATGATCAATGCCTCCTTCCTCTTCAATCGCCACACAAACCTTTGCTATAGATTTCAACATACGCATATGCACTGGGCCACTCGGTACAGTGTAGCCTACTACTGGCGACTCAGGTATTCCATTAAGGGAGCTACATTCAACCCCATGAAAGGGCTGAAGCTTTGAGCATTGTAATGACTTTCCAGGAAACTAGATTTGCACGTGAACAAAACGTTCAACGACCTTAAAATGCTTTTCTCCACCTGCCTCAGATTCACAGCACAGATGCCCCTCGTGCCCTCCAGCGACTCACTCACCTCAATGATTCCATCTGGCTCCATTCCCTCGGGGCCATTGTCTCTGGGTCTGAAAAGACAAGTTTTCACCGTCAGCCTTTCGTCTTCACCTGTATTCCTCCAGAGAGGCCTTCGCCGGCAAAGAACAGCACCAACAAGCGATACCAGTGTTTCCAATTGACAGCTTAAGCAGACACATGCCTTATTTCCCAAGCATGCAGCGAGGTCTGGCAGCCATTTTCGTTCATTCTGCAAATACAGCCATTTAGCCTATAGGCTGCACCAATTAACGAACATTCACGCTTTACCGAGATTAGATAGGGGTGACGTAAAGGATTACCAAAAACGAAATCACTACTTCCTTTGTCAATATTTTTCTTGCTGCTTCAGTGGATTTAAAAGGTACAAATGCAAAAAAAAACGTTCAATGCTAGAGCAAACAGGCGGTGGAACGCTTTTTCCCCCCATGAACCGCGAAGCGAGCGCTCTCCCCGTTTTAAAAAGGAGGGCGGCAGACCACTCGGGCGTTTCAATACACAAGAGAGCCGGTGGCGTTAAAATGGTGGTGTCACAAAAGAAAAAGAGGAATGGGGTGAGTTTTACAAGATGGCTACGGAATCTCGGCTGGAGATGGAGGGGGGGGGGGAGAGTCCGAGTGAGGGGGCGGCCATTTTTTATTTCTGCCCGGAGTCAAGATGGCCGGCCTCTTCTCTGCCATTCACCGTGTAAAGCCGACAGGGGATCCCGTACACCAGAGGCCCTACAGGCCTCTTTAAGGCCTGAGAAACAGACGCCGATTGTACATCGTATCGAATCAAGTCACAACTATAAAAAAAATCGCCCTCGATTTAAGAAGCGATCTGAAAATACTGAGCGCCTGCACCACTGAAACCCACTTCCCCGTCTTACTGCATCAGTCCAGGCTCGCAGGCCGGAAAAGAGGCGCACCGCCACTAGGCCTCGCTTTAAAGCCCACGCCGCAATGCCTTCCTACCGACCCTCCTTTCACACTTTTTCTTAAAAAAGAAGTAAGGCGGTAGTAACTTCACCGGGGCCCAAATTCTGACATTCACGTATCTTTTTCTCCGGTTTTCGGCCCAGGCCCTGACGCGCTTTTCGGCCCAGGCCCTGTCTCCTTTTGTCTCGCCGGAAACCATGTGCTCGCCTGGTCTGACCGGCAAGGCACGCTTTCTCAATGTCGATTTAATGGGGCTGGCAGCTCGATACGGCCTCCGCGTTTCTCAACACAATCGCCTCTCATTTTTTAGCAAGCCACCCTTTGTCCAATTACTCGTTTAATAAAATTAGGTGTGAACTACGAAGATTGTTAAAATCATTTTCTAGTCCCGGTGAAGATCAAATAACCTTCCACGCCCCAAAAGCACCATGGTCTTAAACTAAAACAGGTCTTTTGTTCAATCGGAAAATGAATCGGTTTTATAACTTTTTATAAGCCGATTGCAACACCGTATCATGTGAGATGCGTGCACCGAATGACTCACCTACAGACCCACACGATCAATCACAAGACTCGAGAGGCCCGGAGGCCAGCGATACTAGGCTAGTCCTTCCCTAAAACGCATTTATGGAAGCAAAATACCTTCGGACTTCCGAGATTATATGTTTCGGTCTTGTTTTTTTTTTAAGAATACCCCCTACGAAAACTACAGGTCTTACATGAGAGAAGAATACATTTAAACTATAACCACATACAAAACAGGAATCTAACCAACAAAACCACGGTATTTATCCGTAAAGATGATTAAACATAGCATATAGTTTATTTTACTTAGTTTATAAAGGAAGTTAACAAAAAAGCGAGCCCTTGTTCGGAAGACTCTCTTACCTATCTTCATAGTCCGCCGACATTATCACAAAGAGCGAGCCCGCCGCGAAAATGTTTTATATAGTTCAACGTCTGTCCGAACGTAGCCTCCTGATTGCTGCAAAGTGCCGTCTATCAGCACCAGGACGATCAAGTGTGACATTTAATAGGCGGCTTGTAGCGTCACTCCGCTAATCGTACCCTCCCCCTTATTGCCTTAAAAGGATAAATGGGCGGTGAATAGCTGTGAACACGCCCACTCTCACACTACGTCAAGACGGAAGTCAGCCATTAGGGCGGAGTTCATTTAGCCATTAGGAGCGGCTCTGACGGAAGAACTAGATCCAATGCCACAGAGGAATGTACTGACTTCGTCGCCCACGTTGAAAAGGCTGTCAGTTCTTTTAGAGCCTAGCTCTCACGTTTTCACAGTCACATTGTAAGATTACGTTGTCAGTGTCGAGCACAAAACTGACGAGAACACAATCATGGGTTCAGTCATCGTTTTTTTTGTGTGGGGACAGCCCACGGACTGACGAACTAAAGCTAGCGTTTCGCTTTGTGATATATAACATAGATCTCGGTTCCAAAATAAAGTAGAAGTTATAAATAAAACCTCTGTACCCTCTCAAATTCCAGGCCAGAAAATGTACTTATCAAGTATTACATTTCCTGGCCTGCTCCGGTTATAACCAGCATTAAAACCCCACCACATGAAAGATCTGCTGCAGAAAAGCCTTTCAGATAGTTAGGGGCCAGAGTGGTTGTGTGCTGTTTTTGTTTCATTGGGTGCATATATGTAACTGTATTAAAACCACAATGTCAGATCTTTTGATAACCCTTCCCCCATTGTGAGATACGTTGATTTACCCATACAGTATAATCTGAGGTCAAACTCAGAAGTCTCTTTCGTGGAGGGAGGATTGTTTTTACCAAAGGACTGGGCTGATGTTTTCATCCAATGGTATTGAACAGCTCCAGCTACTTAATCAGATGAGTCTTCTACTGAAATAATTTAGGTCAGGGGCCTTGCTTAAAGCTGGAATAAGCACGAGGAATGGTCTCTACAGCCCCAGCTTCCCACTTCTGAGTCCTGAAGGCTGAGACTCTGACCATACTGCAGGAGAGAGAGATAGCTCATAGGGGGAAGGCTGAGCTGCCCTGATGCCACTCTCTGAAATGCTGGAAGTTTTAGTTACTGCAGACGACGACTTAAAAAGACCAACAGCAGAACTGGGGGGTGGCTGGGGACAGAAGTAAAATCCAACGACTATGTTCAAAATGGCAATAGGAAAACACCACTTCACCCAGGAAGTTGTGGGTCTTTGGATAAAGTTGTGGAAACTGTATGCCTTTGCTAAGAAAAAAAATAACTGGACTGCACACTGGAAAAAAGGTTGAGATCTTCTTGTACGTGTACACACATAAGACCTGTAAAGCTTCAGTTGCAAATCAGAGATGTAGGGAGTGAGAAAAGATGCCAAAGGAAGCCATTAATGAATGAACAGATTCAGATCAGATGGCCAGGAGAGGGGAGGTCGCAATTCTGCTTGTATTCTTACGACAGCAACAGTATGATCAAGAAACAGCTCATCAGTGCTGCCATTTTAGAACATACTAAAGGCACAACTGCACACTGTATTGTAAACAGAAAACTGCAATCCTGCTGCCTGTCAGTAATTAAGAACAGGACCCCCTTTGCATTACAAATGATATTAAAAAAAAGGAGAAAATAACATTGATAGGTTTAGGAATTGGAATGAATTTTTCAAAAATATCGCACATGCACAAATAAATTCACGACTGAATAAGAATCACATAGTGAGAAACCGGCGTTGGAATGAAATCAGTCCTCCGTCGTATTTATCCGAAATTCCAAATTCTGGGTAAATGTCTCTTTCTTCACGCTCCGGCAGAAAACCCATCGCAAGCCCAACCCAACCTTTTCTTCCTTCGGTCATCAGTTCAAATCCAACCTTTTATTTATCACTCCATCCCAGTTTTAAATATAAAACTTCGTGTTTTTTTGCGAGATACGTTGCCTGCCCTTTCAAACATTTCTTGCCATTATTTAAATAAAATGCCAAAAAACAAGGGACGGGGATGAACTTGAAACAAAATTCAAAACCGACAGCTGATGAGGGCAAGCAGACTCCATCGCTGTTCTTCAAAAGTTTCAGGAAAGTTGAAACAGAAAAAAAAAAGACATCCCTGGCTCTCCTCCCTCCCTCCCTCCCCAGGACAAATAAGGAACATAAAAAATAAAACTACACATATATAGTATAACCGATATCTGTTCAAGGTTTGGGCACCTTTGTGTGGTATCCACACACGTATGGAGTCCAGTTTCTCAGGGTCCAATGAATTCATGCCAGCACCCTCCCCCCAGAAAAAAACCCAATGATAATGGCGTAACAACTTTTAGTGTACCGCTGACGTCTATCGGCCTTAGAACAAAACCAAAGGAGGCGGGGGCATGCAGTAAAATAAACCGTAGCTGATGGAAATTTGCCCCAGCCCCCACACTCCTCCTCCTCTCTCATGCTCTCTCTCCGGCTCACAGAGAGAGCTTACAGTGACACAGTTCCTTGTACATCTGTCTCCTCAACTTGGGCATGTCCTGCTGGGTGAAAACGAAGGGCTGCTCCAGGGCCAGACACTTGCAATACTGAAACAGAAGAAAGACAGGGGAGAATTACCAATTAATCAATTAATTGATGGATGTCAAATCCTCCTACATTTACTTTCTCTATAACATTGTCATACCATATATAGCACTATAGCAGTTTCTACAATTCAAGGAGGAATATCTTCTACATATTATGTTTCATGTCAGTAAGTGTGAATCAAAGAAAAAGCCAAACATGGATTCCTGCCCACTTTTCTAATAGTATTAGAAAAATAAGCTCTATATGCTTTTCTCTCACTATAACAAAACTGCCTGGTATCATTTTGATTTAAAATGAATCCAAATACAGGCACAGAAAATAAGCAGCAACTACTGTAGTCAGCTACTGCTTTTAACGTAAAATATTCCCCTAAAACCTCTGGTGAGACAGGGAAAGCAGGTGTTGGAGCCAGCTTGAAAATATTTAAAAAGTGTGTGCATCACCTGGGCTTCATGACCTCAACCCCCCATCCCCCAAAAAACACACATGAAGAATGAGGACCTGCAGGACGTCTTATTCCAACATGCCTTCTGTTAGAGCTGGCTCCAACCTGCCTTACAGGTGAAGCTCACAGGCAGCCAGCAGTCCCAGCACTCTCAGCCACACCAGCTGCCAAGGGGACCCCTTGCTAATTCAAGCCCATCTTATTATAGAGATGCACAATTGTGTGAATTCTAACCACAGCTAAGTAAGAGCATCTGCCACGCTTGAATTGGAAAACAACCATCACCAAGAGCTAATGGGACCCCACCAAAGCTTTATGGTTCAGGGAGCAGGGCAGGAATCCATGTTGCAGCGGACTAGAGACACGCATTAGTATCATTTTTAACGCCCTAAACTTCATGGATCAGCTGCTCCTAGTCGGATTCTCTCACCTGGAGGACAAAGGCTCCACAGTCGCTGTCGTTGTTCTGCCGGGCCACGTTCTGAAACACAGGATAGGACAACTGGCTTGGGAATAGGCTCAGATGCTGCTGCCACAGCAACAAACAACCCTAGTAGTAGCCACAAGAACATTTTTATTTGTAACTTATGGACCTGGGCAATGAAACATGGTCAAGTATTCCCTCCACAGTTCAACTGGCCGCCCTCTCGTACCACCCCCACACCTCCTGAAGAATCCAATATCCTTAAGGTGGAACAATGTATGCACAGAGATCAACGGTCCATCACAACCTTTATCGCAATCGCCTGTCATCATCTCCACTAAACTAAACCTGCATCCTGTACATGCACCTACCTACTGTTCCTATAGAAAGTCTACATCCTTTCCATAGCAACTATATATCGCACTTTGAGAAGATTTTATTAATCCTCCACCTAGACCCCCCCACAGGTTACCAACACTTATTTTTATTCTGATAAGGGCAGAAACAAGCTATTTTAAGTCAGCAATTTCTAACATTTTAACTTTCTATCAGTCAATTGTTTATCCAGTTATCATGTTAAGTGAATACAAGTTTAGTCTCCCAGGATAAATGCAAGGCAAAAAACAAGCCCATCTGCCTTGTTTGCTGCTACTTGTGTACTATCATGTTGTCTGCCTTTCAAAGTGGCCGTGAAGTTCACAGTGTCAGGCAGGGCAGACTGCCACATTGGGGAAGGGAGGGCCCTTACCATTTTGAAAAAACCTCTCCATCCTGTGAGGAAGTCAGTCTGGTCTTTCTTGACAGCCTCTGCCTGCAGGTACTTCGCGATGTGCTGAAAGAGAAACGCAGGGAGTGAGAGACTGCATTGGAGGAATAGACAACCAGCCCGAGAACTGGGCAGGAGGAGACTGGGAGCAGGAGACAGCTGTGCGCAGTCAGAACGGCGCATTAAAGGCACAAAATTAAGAGGAAGAGGCAGGAGTGTATACGGACCTTGGGACAGCGGCGGTTCAGGGTGCGCTGCGAGTCGAAGTAGGTGATGGAGCGCTGGGGCACGTCCACACAAACCAAGGACCAGTGCACCTCCAGGTGGATGGGGATCAGCAACAGCTGCTTCTTGAAGATGTCCACCTGGATGGCGGACAATCAGGGCACTTACATGATGTGAATGCAAAAACCAAACACTACAAGTGGGTTAGAAAGGGACAGATAAGTCTGACCAGCCCCTTTCATCATGGGGAAAAGACACCGTCTACCCAAACAAAACAAACAAATTCACTTACGTTTTTTGTCCATCGCTTGACCCCTTCATAACCTTTTGTCCTCAACTTGTCGTAAAAGAAACTGTTAAAAAAGTGAACCTGCAGAGTAGAGATAAAGGACAGATTAATTGTTTTTTTCGAACAATTTAAATGAGTATAGAAATGTTTACAAACAGTAGGAGTTCACAGAATAAGCATTTTAAATTAGAAAAGGCTTCTGAGCATGCAATCAAGCTTTGCAATAGCAAAATGTATCCTAGCTGCTCTTCTTCCCAGAGCTGCCTGTCTAGCCTTTTCAGGCGGTCAGCTAACATTGGAGCCCAAGATCAGTCCGGCAATATCCAATGGGCATACAGGTGCCTTATATAAGCAGCTTTACTGATGGAGTTATTTTCAACATCTTTTAAAGGTTATAGGAAGTATAAACTCAGCTTCAGAAGGGCACCAGTGTTCCCTCACCTTGTCAGGCACTGCATCCATAACCAGATCTCCATACATGTTCATAACCTGAGGACAGGAGAGAAAGTCACAGGTTCCAATTCCACAGCTGGAGACTTCAGCCTTGCACCTAACTGATCAGTTAGTTTATATAAACTTACTTTAAAACAAAGCTGCTGTTTTACTTCACCACCACTACCTGTTCAGAAAAATACAACTCACAGAAAATAAAAATGGGCCAAACTGCTTGATCATAAGGAGTTTGATCTGTTCCCCTACAACATGAAAGTATGTTTTCCCCCCCAACAGCTTCTGGGCAGGCCCACCTGGTCATTAAGCCAGTTCTGCCCATACAGGGTGCTGAGGTCATCCATGGTCAGCACGTGGCGTTTGTAGTTCACCCGGAACCCTCTGACCATGGCGTTGCCTGACAATCGCTGGTAGGACTGAATTAAGTGCTGCACCACTGCTTTCCTACAGAGACAGAGGAGGAAAGAATCCATTCAGCCATCATAAGAAAGTGAAACAAAAAGAAACCATTGATCAACTGAAAGCCACTAATAGCACAATCCCAGGTGTCCTTGGGTTTGATCAGGGGACACCTTTTGTCCAGGGAACTATAATATCAAGCTGCAATGTTTCCAAATGTCTGGGCAACACAGTTCTTGAGAAAGGGTCCCATCCTTTCAGCTCCATCTCTAAATTTTAATTAAGAAATCTCTCACTACTTTAAAAGTGCAGACATCCCAACAGGTTTCAAACAACTGACCAAGCACCACCATGGTAGGGCTGAGATTAGTTAACCAGGGTTAACTTGGTGTTGTGGCACACAATGAGTCCTGCAACTTGCCAGGTCCCTGCAGATTTGCAACAATGTCAGCAAGAGATGCACTGCTCCTACCACTTATAGCATGTGTGAAACAAGTGCTATGTGTCTCCTTCTCTCCCAAGCAGTGGCAGGAGTCATGGCTGGACAGCCAACTCTTAAGGCAAGTGCGGGTTCCAAACAGGGTGGCTAAATGAGAACACATACTTGCCGATTCCAATTTGAAGTCAAATCATCTGTATCTTTTTAAGACTCGAAAAATACCCCTAGCAACCAGCAGATCTCCAGTATTTGAAGACTGAACTGTTTAGTGCCTGGGTGACCAGTCCTGGTCCAGGAAGGCTGCTGTGTCTGAGTGTTTTCTGGGTCTCTTTATAGCGGCAGCACCTGAATAACTGGGAAAAGTCCAACCGGTTCTAATAAGCCAACGAGAATAAATATCCGCCAGCACACCGGCCAGGAAAGGACATTCCTTCACCTCCTTCGGCCAGACTGGCCTGCAACTCAAAGAGGAACTGAAAACGGAAACCAGAAGGACCTACCTGTGCGGCGTGGAGAAGTTCTCATTGAAGATGACCTGCAGCTTCTCGACCACTTCATCCGTGTGGATGGGGATCAGGCTGCCGTACTGCCGCAGGAACTCGTCCAGGATCCCTGGTAATACAATACCGCTGTGTCAAGTGACCTGCATCCCATTCCTTGATGTTTAGTTTTGGGCTTTTAAAAGTGAGGATTTTAAGGCAGACATTTCCTAACACACAGCTCAGCAGCTGAGAAGAAAAATAGTGAGTTGCTAATTAATCACTAAAGACCCCCCAGCACGCAGCTGTCGAAGACACATGCTCCTACCTTGGACACAAGTCATATGCTCGTCGGTAATGGCGCTCTGCAGGTTGGTGGGACCTTTGTCTCTGCCCGATGCAGAGGCGTCAGCCTGGGCCTCCTTGCCGGGCGGCCCCCCCATGCTGACCACCTGACTAATCTTGATCTCCCCTGGCTCCAGAGAAGACGGCTGACCCATGGGATGGTCGGGGAAGCCATTCACCCCAAAGGGCAAGGTTTCTGCAACACAGAGAGGGGCAGGCACACCGTATCAGAACTGTTATAGCATGCATCACAGTTGTAGTTGTTGTAGCAGGGCAAGGCAACTGTTGCAGAATTGAATCACAAAGCAACAGATTGTTTGTAAACTGGTATAGATAATTGCATGTAAACCTGAACCAAATGATTAGGCTCTGGAGAGCTCCCAAGTGACTCAACCACTAAAGGCACTTGTTCAGAATTCTTACGATCTTGGCATCCAAATGTGACCAGGGTTTCCCAAGCAATACCTAACTCTTATGAGGACATGACGGAGAGCAACAGATAATCTGATGCTTTTATGCAAAGGGACTCGGATTTTCTCATAATACCACGTTCAGCAATACAACAGTTTTTGAATTCACAGCTTTCAAGTTCCACGTCCAGATCCTGAAGGGTTGAGTTGACTAAGCCAGCACTATCTCAGCCCAGGAAACAGAAACTCCAGCGGCTTCCTTTAGTTTCTGGCCACATCGGAGAGGGACACTTCTCTCTTGCAGCAACTCTAAAACCAGAGGCTGCAGGGATGGGGGAAGCTGGCAGAAGCCACATCTTGCACTGGTACCCTTGCCGTGAGCTGAGCCAAGATGTAAAGACAGCTGCTAAATCCAACCTTCGTGGGTACGCATTAACAGGAAACTGGTGATGTCATTTTAGAGAGCGCTTTATTTGCAGATAATCAAACAAACTTACTGGGGAGGATTCTGACAAAGGGTATTCCTTAAAGCGACCCATCAGATCTGCAGTTCATGAGCTTAAAGGCGGTTTTTAACACTAGCAGGTGTTGCAGGACGAAAGTCCATGAGGATGCATTCCACGCACACAAACACTACATTGTGGAGCACACCAGCTCCACACATGCCCAGAATAATGCTAAGAAGCAAGTTGTGGCCATATTCCAATATTTCCCTTGTTTCACCACACTGCAACAAGAAATATCACCCACAATTTGCCGCAGCATCTGAATTCAACAAGCAGAGACTAGAAATCAGCTTAGACAACCTCCAGTCTGCGATTTAAATAGGTTTTGACTTTATTTTTTACACTGCTGCGGTCAGTCCTGATGCCACTTGGCGATACCTAATAACACGGGGACAGAAGCTAAAGCAGCACTCGAAGATAGGGGTCCCCCAGAGTGTTTCTAAATCAGCTGACAACAGAACATTGCCCCTGGAACAAGAGGAAAGGCAAAAATAGGCTTGAAGAGAAGCAGATCCAAACAATGTTTTTTTTTTTAATTTCAGATAAAAACCAAAAGACCCACCCCCTGTGGCCCACACCCAACACAGACCCCCAGTCCTCCCAGCATCTGCGTTTAACCAGACTGACTTCTAAACATTTAACTTCGACTCTTTGGAGCCACACGCCTCCCAGGGAGGATCAAGAGCAATGCCCCCTGCCACCCTCTCCATCCACCTCCGCTCACCTGACTCCGTGCCCCACTCCCCAGCCAGCTTGGGCTCCACGAAGGAGGTGGGGTAAAGTCCGAGCTCGTTGCCCAGGCCAGGCAGGGCTGGGGCTACCCCATTCAGGAGTGCCTCTGCCCGCTGGGGGCTGCCAGGCCGTTGGCGCTCCTGCTGTTGCGCCTGGGAAGCCAGGTGGCGCCACCTCCGCGGCCTGCGGTGCCAGAGCAGGCCGCTCCGCTGGGCCCTGCGGCGCCAGGCCCTCCAGTGCTTGGTCAGGGGGGCGCGGCAGTAGCCCCACCGTCTCCTCCTCCTCAGCCTGCGCGCCCGCAGCCCGTTGAGCCGCGGCTGGGCAGGGCTCCCAGGGCCATCTTCAGGGGCCACACCCCACTCGGAGATAGACGGTCCCCCCCAGTTGCCGCCGCCTTCTTCTTCTTCTTCTTCTTCCTCCTCCTCCTCTTCCTCCTCCTCCTCCTGGTCCATGCACAGGTCCCTCTCCTCCCTGCTGCTGCTGCTACTGCTGCTGCTGCTTCCTCCTCCTCCTCCTCCTCCTCCCCAGAAAGCCACCCTGTCACCCCGCCTGCCCAGATGGCCACGTCCCGGGCTGCTGGCGCCAGAGGAGGCCATGGAAGCCACGTCTCGGAGCTGCTCCGCGCCCCCGCCCGCGTCCTGCGCCGGCGCCAGCTCGCTCTGCCAGCGGTTCTGCGCCAAAGTAACGCCACTGTCTCTCATCGTCCACGGGCACACCACTGCCTGCGCCAGCTCGCCTCCTGCAGGCGGGGGACAGGGACAGAGGGCACAGTCAGTATGGAAGGATTTCACATTACAACCAAGAGGAGACCACCGACAGTCTGCACACTCTTTAGATTTTTGGAAGCGATGGAGCCCAGGGTCTCTTCAAGGAGCCCAGGGTCTCTTCCAGCCGTTTCATTAAGGATCCCAGGGAACCTGCCTCAACACGCTGGCTGAACAGCCTGTTTCAGACCCCCCTGCCCTTTGCGTGAAGCCGTGCGTCATGTTGTGGGCTCTAAATTTCACCTTGTGTCCCAGAGACCTTGTCAATGCTGGCCTTTTTATACCCCCATCGTTTTCTTCCGTCATACTTCAACAAACGTCTCGCTTTTAAACCGCGTAACTAGCTTCTCGGTCGCGCTGCTGAAACCAAATGCGGATTCAGGCGGGGGGGAAAATAAACTTTTACTAACGGTTTTCCATAAAAAAAAAACAAAAATGCCAGGAACACAGCCTAGCTCTAGATTTGTTAAATCGAATTTGATAATGACTTATTCTATGTAAAATAACCATTTGCTAAAATAACAGAGATATTGTCCCCATACCGCAGGAAGATAGGTTCACTCTAATTAAAAAAAAAGGATAAAAAACAAAATGAAGCCGACAGCCTTTGGATTTAAAAGCCGGTTTGCCTTTTTAATTGAGCCCATACTTACTCAGGTACGTGCTAGAGATTACGGTCTATGAACGCCTCGAGGTCTACACCGGTCCGTTGAAACTAAACTCAAATTTCGACATCGGTGTACAAAGACAGAGATTACACCTTCTGCGTTATTTTTGTTTATATATACCAAAAGAGGAAAGGATGTATAATTAGTTACGCATAGTTCGCTGGAATCCATGTTTCTGAGAATATAATTTCTATACACATATCGGTATGCCCACCCCTCTCGATTTGAAAACCACGGGGCCCAGAGACACAATATAAACCATAATATCAACCTTCGCCACCCCCCTTCTCTCCCTCGGCATGCCGCCGGAGGTGAGGGACGACCGAATTACTCACCGCTAGTCTGGAGACCTTCCGTTTATTACTGCCTCGACCCTCTGCTCTGCCACGGGTGGAGGAAAAAAATAAAATTAAGTAAATATACCATACAACACACGGCTGCTTTAATTCCGCCTCATTCAATGAGCCTCGGCGCTGTTTTATTGCGAAGACAAACAACTTCCGCCGCCTTTCGCTTACGTCACTGACACGCTTATACTGAAAACTCGTCGCCTTGGAAGCTTAATGGACGGGTCTTACTGCATGAACACTGGATGTTTTTTACATTAATGAATGTGTATATACAGTGTATGTCCAGTAACACATATGTACTTGCAACATGCAGGGTCACCACGTTATGAAGGGAAAGAGACCATTTCTGCTTCTTTAACTTTACAAGGAGGGGTGTTTTCAAATATTCAAAAGAATATTTGTTACAGGGTTAAAGGAACATTATATGTGCAGTCTTAAAGCAGAATACGAATGCAAGCTAAGAGGGAGTGGACGAAATAAATGAGAAAGCCACTCAATATCCCTAAATACTTGACACTTTTCATCTTCTGAGAAAAGACATTTGGGTGTAATTGAATATATTGTATTACGTAGCCTTAACCAAAAGAGAGCGCCAAAGACTCGAGGTAGGGAAAATAGGGCATATAAAGGTTAAAACATCCTACAGATTCGTGATCAAGGCAGTAGAATAATTCTTGTCAACAGCCGACATAATTAGCTGTTTAATGTATCTATGAAACATAAGGAAATAATTTAACCTAAGCAGACTGAGGGGAAATAACATAGCTTAGGTATTTCAATGTGGTACAGCTGAGAGCTATGGACCAGAGCCCTGTGCAATATCCATGTGATTCCCTACAGATCAAGCTTAAGACTTAATTTAACAACTTTCATATTGCAAATAAAGCATTTTCCATTTGCAGTATATGCTCAGATGGGTGTTTTGCATGTTGAAGTTCTAATATTCATTTCTCACAAAGCTTTAGGATTGATTACATGAGCCTCTCCCCCACACACCCCTCACCTGATCGCCGAAGGAATCTGGGGACATAAAAAACCCACAGACCTTCCATTTAACAAGTGAACGGACAGCCTGTCTGGCAGATCAGGCCGAAGTGTGAATGATTTTGTTTTTTTCTATGCATTCTCTCAAGTTTCCTTGTCTTAAGTAACAATCCAGTTTGGCAAGCCAGGCGGGGGAATGGGGGTGGGGCAGTATGAGAGTCTGGCAGTTATACAAGAGCTGCTGTAAGGTTTCAGCACAGACACAGGCACACCAAGACGCATGCATCCAGATGGCCCCTCCCACCCACATCTTGCTGAACACAATGGCCTGGCTCTAGTGCAGGCCCCTTCAATGCGATCCACAATTCTGGTGGTGCCAGAGCACTTGCAGATCCTGCATCCTACATATTCTTGAAAGTGAGAGAACTGAGGGCCCCCATCAGGCTGTTTTGTTTTGGGAAGTCTGACTTGTGAACAAATAGTAAATGTTGAAAAGGTAAAGCTTGCGCTAAATATGGCATCACTGACCACAGGCTTCCAGCTCTCTCTTTTAGAATTGGGTGAGCATCAGGAACAAAATAAATCAAATCCCGACCAGGAAAGGAGACATTTCAAAGCATGGCGTTCTGTTTTAAAACTGCCCTCCCCCACCACACCCCTGGCCAGTTTATTAGGACCAGCAAGACCTATTTGCTCTATTTAATTTGTTCTCTCCTTGGACTAGCATGTTTGCTTGTGTCTCAGCCTTGCACTGGGACGTCTTTGTATGCAATGGGTGCCCAGCGAGAGGAGCACTGGTCTGGGTTACAGTAGAGGAGGTGTATAGGCTACAACAACTTTCCCAGTCACAGACCGAAAGTGCAACAATCCAGCTGGTTTTCCTGGTTTTGGTCAACATCTTAAACTGGAATTTCTTAAACCCAATGCTGGTGAGCCCTGCTTTTCTGTCCATCTGGCCTTTCAGTGGTGTAACTGAACTCTTAAAATGTAGTAATCAACAATCTTAACATTTAATTTTAATCTGACCATTTAGTTCTCAATCTTTACCCCACTGGAGTCTGCTTTCCAGTTCAGAAGTAGTTGGAGATTAAAAATTACCTGTAATAGTTTAACATAGTTACATAAAATTTGCCATGTCACTATGATATGGAAAGAAAGAAGGGGTTAATCATTAGTGTGTTCAAGGCTTTGTTTAGGTCTTTGATATCCAGCAGCCATATCACCCTGCAGCTCATACCCACTGAAGCTCAGCAGGTATGAGACCTCTTGGGAAAAACTATGGTTTCTGCTGGAAGAGGTGTTAGTGGGGCCAGTAGGGGGCGCTCACCCTGCAGTCTGTTCGGGTCCTAATGCCCCATTATAGTGACGGGGACACTATACTGTAAAAAGGCGCTGTCCTTTGGATGAGATGTAAAAACAAAGGCCATTAAAAATTCTGGGAAGTTTCTTGAAAAGAGCAGGGGTGTTACTCCAGTGTCTTGGCCAAATGTCCCATTGGCTTTACCAATCATGGCCTCCACAATCCCCATCTATGAATTGGCTTCATCACTCTGTTCTCCTCCCCACTGAGAGCTGGTGTGTGGTGAGTGTTCTGGCATACTATGGCTGCCGTCGCATCATCCAGGTGGGGCTGCACATTGGTGGTGGTGGAGGGGAGTCCCCATTACCTGTAAAACGCTTCAAGTGGAGTGTCCAGAAAAGCGCTATATAAGTGTAAACAATTCTTAATATTAAGGTGATTTGAAATTAAGAGAAGACTCAAGACTCCCTAGGGTATCTAATCTCTAAACCATCAAACTACAGTGCAGTCTGCTAGCCCTATCTTTCGACAAATTCCCTGTTCTGTAAATTTTCAAAGTCTGGCTGGCCACTCACGTCACTTCTTCTGTCTTCAACAGCCAATCACCTCTCAGTCACTCTCCCTTTCTGGCCAATCAATCCCTTCTTTCCCCGCTGTCCCAAAGCAGGACTGGCCAATCCCTATTCAAGTTCCCACCCCGCCCCTCCCCTTCGCCAGCTCAAAGGGGGTAAGGGGATTGGCTGATGGTGAGTTCACCTGTGTGGGTGTTCTAGTTGGTGGCAGAGAGACAAGACGAGAGCATCTGTCTTGCAAATGTTTTGGATGTGCCTTTCTCTGTTTGTGGCAGTTCCGCCTTTAAAATGGAAAAACTGAAATGAGGACATTCCAGTTTTGGTCATTGGTACCTGGAGAAAGTAAGGGACCGGCTCACCTGTGGTTGTGCAAGAGAGGGGAAGAGGAGGGAGAGAGAGAAACAGACCGAAAGAAGAAGACCAGGGTAAGAGTGAGAGTGAGTGAGAGCAAAAGAAAAACCCTACAGGTAAACCACCTTTCAAAAACAAAGCGGCAGATAAGAGTTTGTGGGTGTGGGCCAAAGACAGAAGGGAGGAGAAGGGAAAGAAAGAGGTGGAGGAAGATAACATGGATTAGTTTTGACGGAAGAGTGCAGAAAAGAGGAGTAGAGAAGACGAAAAAGGATAACAAAACCGGAATAAGAAAAAGCAACAAGGGGGGGGCACAAGGTGATGATAGTACAAGTGAAAAGGTCGAGAAGGACACCGGCTCACTTTTGAGCAGAACTGGTCGCTATCTTGTCTGGTTTATTGGTGGCAGTACTGGAGTCAGAAGGGAAACGGGAGAGCAGGCGTATGTGTGGACAGCAGGCTCGCAGCTCAGGGATTTCGTGAAGGGTAAGTTAGTATGCGGGACCGAGTTTCGGCATCCCGCGGCGCACGATTCTACGGAAACCGCCTGGGCCAACGTGCAATAATTTATTCTGACGTTAATGGCACGGGGTTCAGAAATGCACACCACATCCGAAAAACGCAAAAGTTTTTTTTTCCCTCTTTCTTTTAACAGAATACATAACAAATTACAATGACAAAAGTAACATTGTTTCTCTCGCTGGTTCAACAGTGTTTCTGCACCGGGACATTATTCAAACACCAGCCCTGAAACTTGTTTTTCTTGTTTTTCCGTAGTTCTGCCGTCTTTTAACCCTGCTCCCGTAGTGCGATAAATCAGGTGGCTACTCGCTCGTTTTACCTCTACGGTAGCCACCCGGTCCCTGGACACTTTGAGACAGCACTGAATGTGAAAGTAGGTATGAAAGTGAATTTTATTGTAAATTGCGCGCTAAATCTTGATTAAATTCGCATAGTTGCTAACTGCAGTGTGGGGCCTGAGAAAGGCAAAAGGTGCTAGTCCTGTGCGACTCGACAGGTGGGAAAAGCAAATGAACTTTAGTACAGTGCCGTAAACCCGAGGTAATATCCGGTCAATCCTATTTCGAAAGACTGAAGTATGATACAATTTATCGACACAAATGTAGTAATATTGACTAGTTCTGTACGTGGTTCTAAATACTTAAGTACTATAGGACAGTTAATTCAACGGCTCAAGGCGGACTGTGATCAGTATCTTTGCAAAACGAGATTAAATCCGATGATGCAGCACTTGATACTAATCCAGCGAACGAGAAGAAATTATATCCGACGATATTTCACTTCTGTTGGAGTTCCATTTTTAAAGATTGTCGATTTTCGCTGCGGTTATGCAGTGGCGCCACTGACGAGTTCGCTGTTGCCATAGCAAAACAGTCCCGGCAAGTTACAAACAACCCTTTCTTCCGTTTCGTTTAAGTAGAAAAACTTGTATATGAAGAAAGTAAAGGTAGGAATAACGTAGTCGAGGCCTCGAGAAGAAAAAAAAATAGAAACGTCGGAAACGCGGCATTTTGAAAAGAAGGTCTTCTGGAGTCAGATATAAAGAGCCCTAGTGCGTCTCCTCAGCAAAACAGGTTTGGACTATTAAGAATATTAACACTTCCACTACTATATCTATTGCTAGTGCCAGTACTATATCTGTCATTTCAACAGTGAAACATTAATGAAACAGATTAAGCAAAATATGAACAGGTATTTTTTCTGGCTTGATGACATGGGACTTATCCCAAAAACGTCATTCATCAACAGCACGGGCATATTCCCGGCATTGTTTTTTCACTTGAAAGAATCACGCAGTCATGTAACCCAGTTATGGGACCCTTCTGCAGAAAGTGAGCTCATCGAGATGTGGATCCGACTGTTAATGTGAAGTGGTGGCCTGTGCTCCCTGCATGCTTTAAAAGTTGTACTTCACCCAATAGCAGCAGTGGTCCGTGATCCAGGGAGTGGTGTGGTCCTCAGAAAATATGACCGTGCATATAGATCCAGATTTGACCCTAGATTCATAGTAGATCAATGCAGTGATCATGCAGAGTTCACATACAAGTTTGCCCTCGAGTGAGGCTTCTGGGGACCCTTATGGGTGGAGGCAGACCTACTAGCATCTTCTGGTAGAGGAATCCGACTGAGTTGAGAGGGTTTACTCTGCAACACCGGCTCAAATCTGGAGCATCCCACGAAGGCAAGAGAGCTCAAGTTTATTTTTTCTTTCTATTCCCTCTGACTGCATGAGATCCTTGGGTTGGTAAATTTGTAAACAAGTGTTTGGCCCTGCCTTGATGAGCACAGGATGAACCCATTACCTGAAACTCAAAAGTTCAAAAGACATTTCCTGAAATACTTCCTGAAATTACACCCATACCAGGGTGTAATTAGTAAAAAACAAGATCAAAACAGATGACGAATTCATGCATGATAAGAATCGGATCTTGTGAGCAGTGCGGGGTAGTGATGAGCAATGAACTCACTGACACAGGAAGGAGATTTTTCTTCCTTTTGTGGTGAAAGGATCATTGGAATAAATGAGCAAACCCCATCTTACCCAGCTCTCTAGCAGATCTTTCTCCCAGGAGCTTATTTGAAAAAAAAAAACAGGATGGTTCAAAACATTGCCAGAGTTTTTTCCAGCAATCGGAACAAATTGTTGCCCGCTCCTCCAAGCCTGAGCTGTTTTTTTGAGAGTGCAATTTGATTTCGGTTGTGCTAAGGGGCCACACCTATACATTAGTTGGATCTCGCCTGAATATCTTGGACTGTAGTGACTGGAAATGACACGGCTCACGCAGAAGTGACTCAGTTTGCTCAGTCAATGGATGTCTGCGCTTGTCGTTTCTTAGAAGTTCCCCAGTGGGAAGCCGAGCTGGAAATAAATCCAGTTTTTATCAAACCTTTGGACGTGGTTTCTTTTGAATTGAGTTAACATCCATTTAGGAGATGGCTTTGGCTTTTCAGCAGACTGGTGCAGTAACTTCCTTCAAACCTTTGGTACTGGAACACCCCAGTGGTCACCAGTTGCTGAAAGCCACTTATCGATGTTGTTGGATCTTCCCTGGGATCCAGCTTCAAACACTATGGCTGGGCTGATCTTGCAGGCAATCCCAAACTTTGCATAAAGATGCATCTCCTATTTTCCCTCTTAAATTCACTTCTTCCTGCGCCCATGAGGTGTTTTTCATTCCTGCTTGCTAATTGATTTAATTGCTAATTCCTCTTGTGTAATTCCCGGCAGTAGGGATACTTCATAGGCTGAATTTACTGGAAAGATTACCTGGCATGACACATAAAGGAGAAACAATAGGAGAGGATTGGCACATTGGTCAGCGTGTTCATAGCTGCTCACAGCACATCCCACCTCCAGAAACTACACCTGTTATACGGAAGCTTTCAAAATTGATTTTTGTATCTCTAATGTGAAGATGCATTCCTATATGGGTTTTTGTCCGAGAGCTGCCAGCTCTATGCATTGTCAATCACAGGATTAAGATGGGGGCAAAATGCAGAACTTGTGGCTATTTGAAAGAAAAAGTCCTTATTTGCCACCCATCCTGGAGTCTTTTCAAGTTAGGTATGTCTGCATAAAGGCAAAATATGTTCTGCTGTGTCCGGGAATGCTCAAACTGTTGTGCTGGTGTTCTTATTCAGCAGTTCTGAATTTCATGAATCCGTCTGACCTGCATTGATGAGAAGAAGGTTAATGTAAAAAAAACAGAAGGACTTAATTAAGGTTATAAGCAGACTGTTTCAATATGTTTGTATGTTTGGTTGCTGGAAGCTCATTGATCCAAGGATCTTATTTGTCCATTTCTTGAAGGACCTGTAGTCAAAATGTCTGTAAGCTGTGACATTTTTTCACTTGTTGTGGTTCGAAGGTTGGAGACAGGAGCAGTGCAGCAGTGTTAAGTTGGCGCTCACAGTTCTCATGGCTCTTGGGGTCAACTAAGTGGACATGGTGCCATCTGTTGGCTGGGTGACCGTGTATCCGTTCAGGAATGCCCTGTCGGATACAGGGAACGGTTCTCATTCCCTCAAGTCTCCTAGACTCAGAAAAACAACACACACTCATAACCCCACCCCACGGTCTAGAGAAGTGCCGGGGGCCTGCCTGGGCTGGCCTGGATCTCTGCTAAAACAAAGGTGTGAATCCTGGGAATCTGAGCTCTTTTCGGTTGGCATGCTTCAGTCTTTTTAAAGTAATACCAGCCCTAAAATATGCTTATGGTTTTCTTTCTAGCTGTACTCTCATTTAAAAATAATTGCTTACACTTATATAGTGCTTTTCTGGACACTCCACTGTAAGCGCAGGTAATGGGGACTCCCCTCCACCACCAGTGTGCATCCCCACCTGAATGATGCGACGGCAGCCAAAGTGCGCCAGAACGCACACCACACACCAGCTCTCAGTGGGGAGGCGAGCAGAGTAATGTAGCCAATTCATAGATGGGGATTAAACCCCTACTCTTTTCCAGAAATTCCCTGGGATTTTTAATGACCACAGAGAGACAGGACCTCGGTTTAATGTGTCATCCGAAGGACGGCGTCTTTTTTCAGAATATTGTCCCCATCACTATACTGGGGCATTAGGACCCACACAGATCTCAGGGAAAGTACCCCCTTACTGGTCCCAAAATACCTCTTCCAGCAGCAATCTTAGTTTTTCCCAGGAGGTCTCCCATCCAGGTACTGACCAGGCTCACACCTGCTGAGCTTCAGTGGGCTGCCAGTTGTGAGTTGCAGGGTGATATGGCTGCTTAATTCGTAATTAAATGAATTATTTGCCAAACTAGACTCTTTTTCAGTTCTTCAGCAACTCGGTAATTCACAGTATCTCGCTGCCAGATATCATGTAACTCAAAATGACCAATTTATTAGAGGCTATGAACAGTTGACATAAGCAGTATCTGTCCTCATTGGAATTAAGCCTGGTAAATTGGAGAGGTAGACACAATTCTATCTGGCTGAAATGGTGAACGAGCAAAAGTCTCAGTGCCTGTGGCTCCCATATAAAAGACAGAAGAGAGACTGTTAGTGGTCTGATGTTAACAGATCACGCATTCTCTCAATGAAAAGAAGCAAAAGCTGTCGTGTTTTTTCCTGGACTATCCAATCATACTTCCATCCAATATCAGAAATTTGCTTTTCCTTCTGAGTGCAGGATAGGACTGAGTGCACTCTCTCTGCACATCTATTTCAGACTGATAGAGAGAGGGACAGTTTAAAGTACCAGCCTAACCTGCATGTCTCTGGGAGGCTGGAGGTAACAGGAGCACCTGGCAGAATATCAAAACAGAATGTGCAAACTTCACACAGAGAAGACTGGAACCAGACTTAGGACCCTGGAGCGATGAGGAAAGAGTATTAACAACCATGCAGTTGAGCTACATTTCGTTCACAGGCGTTTAACTTGGCAGAAATAGATTAACTTCTTAAGAGCGTGCAAAGTTTTTCACATTTTTTGCAACGGGGGACATTTTAAGTGGCATTTTAAAGACCAGTTTGACCTTTATTATTACTTCAAGACAAGTTTATTGTAGAAGGTTGAATTTGATGACACTGGTGATAGATTGTTCAAAATGTATTCTGTGTTGATATTGGAGAGTGCTTTTCACTGCCATTATTGTTCTCTGGAATACTTTCTGTGAATAAATAAGTGGAAATTAATACTGCATGTTGGACTTGCAAAATGTCAAAACTTTGACATTTGAACAATCTGTTATTCGAAATCAACATGTTGAGCTCTGATGGTTTAAATGGGTTTGTTGTCCTAAACAGTTCTTGTTATGTCCTTTAATGTGGGTGGTGTTTAAGCTCTAATTACAAGATCAAATCATATGTAATGTGGAAGTTGAAGAGTCGGGTGCTCTTGTTTTTGTGTCCTTTTCCTGCCTGTTGCTTTTGTGAACCTCCTTGCTCATAGCTCAGCTGTTTCTCACTTAATGATCCTGTCGAACCGGTATTTCCTCCCTGACAACCTGCAGAAAAATGCTTTGTGAAACTGCGAAAACATTTATACGATCTTTGGTGCATTGTATTTTTGGATCTACTTCAACATGCTTTCTGTTTATTTCTTTTCTGTAATTCACTTGGAAATATGCTGAAATATGGAGTGGGCTCGGCCAACTAAGGCCCGCTTATTCCCAGCTTCCTTTAGCGACTTTTACCTGCTGTCTGTGAGATTCTAATCAAAGCTAAATGCACCATTGATGGGAATATTTAAAGAGTTATTGCAGAGTTTGCCAGTTCCCCCAAAACCATGGCTTCACATCTCAAGACCACCTCTCTCCTCTTTCTGCTGCCGATATTTGTGCCCTGTCCCCTTCCTTGTGTTGAAATTGATGTTTAGCAACATTTTAAGGTGGATCTGAAAGACTTCATCTTCACCTTGAGCTGGGGATTTGGGGATCAGTTTACAACTGATAACGCGTCACACGGTCATGCTGTATCAGTATATATACAGTCCATGTGATAAATGCAGTTTCTCTCGGTCTGTGCCAGGAGTGAAGTGCCCGTGCATGCCATGCTGATGGACCAGGACACTCAATGGTTGTACCAGGTCCTACTGGAGATCCAGCTGGAGAGGTTCTACCTGCTGATCCGGGACAACCTCAACGTGACGCGCATCGAGCACTTCACCTACGTTAAAGACGCTGACCTCGAGCAGATAGGTATCGGAAAACCTGGTGAGTCCACAGCTGCTGTGGTCGGAAACTGTTTGGACACACAAGCTTGCCAACACATGCGAAAATCCGGCACCGCCACTCATCCAGCACAAACACCCACATACAGAAAAGGCCTCCCCTGCATTTTCCTGAAGAATCCTGCCGAGTTGCCCCCAATTTCCAAAAGAGCTGTTTGTCCCACCCCTAATTTATAATGGAAACTTCCCAAGTCTATTTTTTGTGATTTTGCAGCTGTTGGCATAGCCAAATGCGGAAGGACAACAGCAAACTACCATGATGTTATAATGTTATAATGAGCTGAGAGGTACAGTGCCTATTTACTGCCAAGACAACGTGATGCTGTGTCCAGTTTGTTCAGTATGCATGTCGGGGACCATATCTGAACGTACATTGATTGTAGCATCTAACTGTGATATCTGTGTGCTAGAATTGTGAGGACATATAAGCAGAAATCTCAATGATGTCCCGGTGTTTTCCAGGTCAGAGACGGCTGTGGGACGCAGTTAGGAAGTATAAGATAGCCCTTCGCAATCGCTCACGGATACCCAAGGTACAGTGTCATCATCACGACGTATAGGAATGTTAATATAACTCTGGGGTTTTATTCCATTATGAATTTTCTCTTCACTTCACTGGATTTGATTCCAGGCATTCCTCCAGGAAACTCCTCTTTGAGCGACACAGTGTCTTCCTCTTTGCCTATTGAGGGAAGCAGGAGGAGGCTGAGAAAAGTTGTACATGAACTTACCCCATCACATGTTGTTCCTGACCTCTAACCTCTATCCAGTGAAAAGGCGCCCTGTCTTTTCCCAGCATTCTTGAATCTACATTTCACCGCCACCTTCTTGCAGGTGTTCAGTGGGCGGAGCCAGGAGCACTATGACCAATCAGGAGGCAGTGCGGGACAACCAGAGGTCGGGCGGTCCCTGGCCTGCCTGATCACGGACCGTGATCTGACGTTGTGCGAGAAGTTGGGCAGTGGCTCATTTGGGGTAGTGAAGAGGGGCGAGTGGAGAACGCCCACTGGCAGAGTGGTGAGTGGGACAATATAGTAAGATAGTGATAGGGGATGGGAGAAGACAATATATCTAACCTCTTCTATTTGCAGATCCCATTTATGTCTGTGGTCCTTTGCACAGGTTAAAACTTGGTGTTTAGCTTGAAAGGTGTTCAGTGTCCATTCATGGTCCTTTTATATAGCACTCTCTAGAGGTAGGAGATGGCCCAGTTACTCCCCCACTGAAGTGCACCTCCTCTGAGGGGTGGCAACCCCATTTTGCTCAGACTCTCAGCAGATGACAGAGAGAAGAGAGGAATTATAGCACTTAGCCAGTTCTACTAGAAAGGGGAGTGTAGGCAGGACCCTGCTATGAATCCTGTAATGGAATGTAATCGGGACTCTTTATGAACGGCCCATCTACTGTAAGTCCTTACTCTCTATTGTCTCCTGGCAACAGATGAAAGCTTTAGACTGAAAATCTGGGATCACAAAGCAGAGAGAGTGTATACCACCTGCTGGTTTACTAGCAGCATTGCACTCACTGCAGAGGAATTCTCTTTTGCACTCTCAGCACTGACCAGGCCCCCTGAACTGGGTTTCTTAGATCTGTTTGGTTAAGACCTTCAATCTCTGTCACTGTGCATCCTGACCCCCTCTCGATCCCTTTCTCACGCCCCTTCTTTTCCTCTCTTTCAGATCAATGTTGCAGTGAAGTCCCTTCGGACAGACATGTCCAGAGAGACAGACACTCTGACAGACTTCTTGCAGGAAGTAACCATCATGCAGACCCTGGACCACCCCAACATAATTAGACTGTATGGAGTGGTGCTCACACAGCCTTTGAAGATGGTAATACCTGGTGCTCTGATACGCACACTAAAATACACTGGTACCACTGATACGCTAATGGGCTGACTTAGTAACACACAAATCTACTGATGGACTGACAGGCTAGAGCATTGATATGCAGAGACACGGAGGAAGTGAGAAACTGATCCTTGCTCCCTTCTTATGTCTTCTCCAGGTGACAGAGTTGGCCCCCCTGGGTGCTCTGTACGACACGCTAAGAGCGCGGTGTGGAGAGTTTCCCCTGGCACGGCTGTGGCTCTTTGCCACCCAGCTGGCAGCAGGCATGGCATACCTGGAGTCCCGGCGCTTCCTGCACAGAGACCTGGCAGCCCGGAACGTGCTGCTGGCCTCGCGGGAGCTGGTCAAGATAGGGGACTTCGGGCTGATGAAGGGACTGAGCACCGAAAGAGACCACTACGTCATGAACACCCATCGCAGGATACCCTTCGCATGGTACTTCCCGGGCAACATCTCTGCCTGCACCTTTCTGTCTGCCCGTACCTCCGTCTACACCATCGGTCTCTCACTCCCTAGTGGTCTGTGCCTCTGCTTCTGTCAGTCGGTCCGTCTCCACTCTCGCACTCCCACCCTCTCAGTTTTCTCTTGCTTCCTGTTTCTCGCTCTTTCCCACTCTTCGTCTCGCCCACGCTCCCTCATTCTCCTTGTTCACCCTCACTCTCTCAGGTGTGCGCCGGAGAGTCTGAAGACGGGAACGTTCTCTCACTCCTCGGATGTGTGGATGTACGGAGTGACTCTATGGGAGATGTTTACTTACTGCCAGGAGCCATGGCTGGGTCTATCAGGGCGACAGGTAACCCGTATCCTGCTGTTTGAGCTCGTCAGACACACAGACGTATAACTGACTACATGGATAGTAGTATGTTCGAAAAGGGGGGGGAAGGGACACATTTCCCGGATTTACCATTTTGCACAGGCTGTTTTTTTTTTTTTACAGCTGAACCACAAATGAGTATTTCCACCAGTTCTTCAGTGGACGCTGAAGACAGCAGTGCGTGTGACAGGCCTGGTGATGCCTGTCTCTCTCTCTCTCCCTTCCAGATCCTTTGGAAGGTGGAGAGGGAAGGAGAGCGCCTGCCTCGGGCCCCGGACTGTCCTCAGGAGATGTACGCGGTGATGAGGAAGTGCTGGGCCTCCAACCCCAGTGAGCGGCCCTCCTTCTCGGCCCTCAGCTCGTTAGTGGCCGAGGTAGCGGCCGCGACACTCCCCACCACACCCCTCATTCCCATCCTGCTCCGCCAGTTCACCCTCACTCCTCCCTCTCCCTCTCCGGCTCTGCACCCCTCTCAGCTCAAGCTCCCCTGACCCCGTTCCACTCTCCCAGCTCACCCTCTCGCTCCACCCTCGTCTGATTCCCATCGCCGCCGATTTATTGACTCTCCCTTTCCAGGCTCAGCCCATGGAGGTTTGCGCTCTCAGGGACTTCAACGAACCCAGGAAGCTGCGCCTGCAAGCCAACGACGTCATCACTGTGGTCGACCACGGGTGAGAGAGAGAGGGTTGCAGAAGTGGGGCTCGAGAGCCCAGTCTCCCAGGCCCAGGTTTGCCCAGAAAGAGCTGGGCAAAATTACAGCCCATTTCCACGGGCGTTGTCTTTAATGAAAAAGACTGATAATCCTTGATGGGAATTAACCTGAACATTAGCAAGCTGTTCAAATACATTAGACGGTATAGTCGAAAAGCATGCAACAATGTTGAAAATGTTTTAGATCGTAATTTCTGCACATGAAAAGCTTAATATTGCATGGGGTAAGTAGTCTGGTGCGTGACTTCAGGAAAAGCATGAAGCTTGTGGTTTTGCAAAAACTGCTGTTGGCATGTTCCTCACATTTTTCTATTATTGTTATTGCACATTCGAGTTTTTACAACTGACCACTTGATCTGTACTGCTTTGATTCTATTCCATATCAGATTCGTTAAATGGGTGGTACGGTGGTGTGGCTGTTACCATTGTTTGGGTTCAGTTCCAGAAGGGGGTGTCCTCATGCCTCTGTGGTTTTTCGCTTGGTACTTTGGTGTGCTCACATCTTCCAATCACTGGCAAATTGGCATCTCTATAATGTTCCAGATACATGGTGAGCCTGCTATGGAATGCAAACCTTACGAGCAATAAGCTCTTTTTGCTCATGAAAGGATGGATGAATGAATGAAACATTGAATTGTTTATTGAACGTTTATTGTTTATTTCCTGCTGAGTTTCAAGTTAAAATGCATGGACAAGTTAAAAGGATTCGACTGTGTCTTGTGCCATTTTGCATTTTGCTGTGTCTTCACCCTGTTTCCCTGTGGTCTTATTGTGCTCTCCCGTTCCCCTCTCCTTCAGACTGGAGATGCTCGAGTGGCGTGGCCAGAATCAGAGCACCCTGGCTGTGGGATGGTTCCCCCCTTCCCTGGTGGCACCCACTGCGCCCACTCCCAGTTCCCTGCTCATCAGCGCCCCCCTGAGGAATACCCTGGTCCATACTGGCCATGGAGACGTGCGCCTAGAGCGCAGCTGGGGCTTCCCCAACCGCCCGGATGAGTTAGTTTCACCACCCTCTTGCTTTGTTGTGTCATATTGTCACTGCGCTGTGCCTCACTGCTTCCTGGGCTTTATAGTGCTGTGTCTTCATGCGTGTGTTTATTGACTCTCCCAGTGCTGGATGGGAAAACAGTGGGTAGAAAAAGACTCTCCGATTTGTACAACTGAATTGCTCAGCTTGTCTATCATTGGCAGGAATTACTCAAGGCACTCTGGGAACAAGAAGGACAGGGAGAGGGGGCCCTCCAACCTGGGGAGAATGGCAGGTACAGTCATTCATGTGCATGATATTACTTCTTTGAGGACTGATTTTTTTAGACAGCAGATTGGCACAAAGAGCAGATCCCAATATAAGAATACAGAAGGGTGTGCTTAAAACTCATGGTATGGTCCATGTGTAAGTCCAAGTATTATTATTTTTTTCCCCTTATAAATAATTGTTTAAACTTTGCAAGCCAGAGTAACAGCTTGAACAAAATCTAAGTTTTACGATTATTACAAAATATTGATTTTCCGATCAATACGATGAGACCTCAGGTTTTCTTTGGTTGTGATGTATGTGTAGTGTTTTGATGGTTTATGGCTATTATCTTTCCAGGCCTGTCCAGGAGCCTGGAGTCAGTGCTGGACGGGCCCAGGGGAGGTGGCCCACATGCCCAGGATGTGCACCCTGATCCCAAAAGGCATCCAGACCCCAAGGGTCCTAGTGTCCCTCCACCAGACACGCGGCGTCTTAGTGATGCCCCACCACCCCGCCCGGCATTGCCCAACATCAAGCACTTCAAGATTCCCCCACAGAGCCGTGATCGCCGAATGGCACTAAACCAGATTCCTGGCTTTTGGGTCCCACAGCAGACCCAGGCCAGACTGGAGAACGCCAGCCAGCAGGAGAGCTCGGCTTGCAATCTGACCAAAATGGCACACCTCGCCCGGTCCACGCCACAGCTGGACAACCACAGTGAGGTGCACCCCCCGCTGGCAAATGAGAGGAGCTCCATTATTGCTCAGGTCTGTCTGTAACTTCAGCTCCAAGATCTGTGAGTTCTCCCCAGTGGTTGGCCTGTAAACACTTCTTCCCTTGTCTTCAATTGGCCAGGTGCAGGATGCGGTGCATGGAGTGACGATTGAGGAGTGTCAAGATGCCCTTCGGCGCCACGACTGGAACCCTGTCAAAGCAGAACAATACCTCAAGGTATTTCTGCCTCTCTGTCTCGGTGTCATACTCTTTCCATCTGTCTTACTCGCTCATTCTCACACTTTCTCTCTCATTGCTGTACCTCACATTGTCAGTGTCAGTTCCATTCTCTCGTTATCTCACACTCATTTTATCCCCCTGTCTTTAACAACCACTGTCTCATGCTGTCCCAGTCTGTCAAGAGTCACACCATTTCACTGTCTCACACCCTTACCGTCTCAGTTGGCTGCCATTGTGTGACGCACATTAACCCAGTCTCACTCTCATTGTTGCTCTCTTTCCCAGACAGAGCAGCTGTATTTCATGTGCCATCACTCCAGAGAGAACTGTCGGAGGATCCTGGCCAGGTTCCAGTGGAACTTGCAGGCAGCCAGCCGATACATGTTGCAGGACAGACAGGCCCTATGACCAAGAGAGTAAGACGGGGGGGAAGTGGTCTCTGATCTTACAGTAGAAGTGCTGATCTCTACGGCCATCTCCATCCTCCAGCCTCCTTGGACTTTGTTTCTCTCAATCTTGGCCCGTGCCAGTGTCTTCAAGGCTGCTCTCAACCAATTGTCGAAACTTTGATCTCCGAGCTAATATTTTGACTGTGCATCCTTTTCATGGCGAAAATCTGTGATCTTCTCCTACCTAGTGTGGCCTGGTGTTGTTAATACCTGAACTGCAGTGTTGCTTGTTTAAAGCAGGCCTGGGCATAACCTCCCAGAGTTGCAGACTTGTCCATCAGCAGGATCGCGTCTGTGATAAATAAAGCTCTGTGCAATAATGACCTCGGCAGATGGAGTGAAACAATGCACCCAACAAAGGGGCAGTCTCTGCAGCAAAAGGCAATGCTGTCAGGCACTTTAGCGCCACCAATCCCTGGACTTTCTGATAACCTTGCTAACATTGTCTACTGGAACAGAAACTGCTGGACCATTACTTCTCAGCATGACGCCAAGTGAAGGTTATACTACTAAGCAGATGGGATAGGATGGGGCTATATCTGAAATATCTCTCAACCTTGAGGACTGCATCACGCAATGCCCTGTTCAAGCAGTTAGTCATCTTTTATTTACCAAAGACATGACAGCTGGGAGACAGATTCCATTTTTGCCACATGCAAAAGCCCACATACATTAGCTGGGGCATCCTAACGTCCCCCGTCAGTCGTGGCCGGTCAGTATGGCGCGATCCTACGGCAGCTGCCAAGGTGAACTGTTGGATCGTGTGGTCGTCAAACGCTAGAATGTGCAGCAGGGAGAGAAAAACTAAGGTGGGTAAAAAAGTGACACTCTTGCTGTGTACAAGACATTACCCTGGTCCTGATATGTAGGATTCATGTAATCATCATCAGCACATTTTCATCACAGGGCCTGTGGAAGGAATGGTAATATATCATTGGGGTTTTCTGTTGAGTAATCCATTGTGTATTTTTTTAGTAATATATTGCACATTTTACTGTGATGCCACAGTGCAGTCCAGTTTTAACCTCAATTATTCTGGGACTAGAATACCAGGAAACCTTGTAGGACAGACTTAACTTTATCTGCGTCTAAAGGCTCTTGTTACTCAAGGCAGTCTACTGGTAGCTTGTGTACCTTATCACCGTGTCCTGCTAAGTTGCCTCTTGTAACCCTGCCAGCAATCCTATTCCTATTAGTCATGCACCTAACAATCAATAATTAGCCATCATTTACCTGTTAATAATCATGAGTCTCTGTTCAGAAGTGAAAAAGGGTAGAAAAAGACAAATGCTGTTGCTCAGGCACAAAGCTTTTTTGTTTTCTTGTGACATTCTCAAAATGCAGTGGGTTTGCTGCATTTAAAGGAGAAGTGGTGTAATGGGTAAAATCCCCATGATGACATCAGATTTACAGGCAAAGCATTGCAGTTATAAGAGTTGCCATGTAGCAAGGGCCAATCTGAGACACCTCTGCTCCTCCTGGGTTTCTAAGTGTTTGTCCCACTCCAGGGACTGAGCAGCAACTCAATGCGATTCCGGGGCTCTAAGACCTGAAGTGGGTGCAGGAGTATGGCATGTTCTGCATTACTATTACTTTTTAAATTATAATGTTAATAACAGATGTAAATAATAGATGTTTCCACTTTGAACTGTGTTTTAAGATATTCAATTTGAGAAACCAGGTATACAGTATATCTGATCGGACTCATAAGATCTGTTCCTAAAATTAAAATTATTTTCTTTTAAACTGTGTTCCGGTCTCTTTTTCTGTTTTCTTTGTGGACACACAAATCTAAATTTCTAAATCTTAGATTTAGAAATTTAAAAAATATATTTTTTTAAATCATTTTTGCTCACTTCTTGTTCTTTAAAGGCTATTGGAGGGAGGGCCCTTGACCACTGGACCTTGAGAATCCCTTCCTTTTCCATGTTTTGTAGGGGACTTCAGTTTAGAGGCCTCAGGTTCACATGACCCTCATGTTGGGGGCAGGGAGACAGAGCATTAATATTTTAGCCTCCCCATCTTAGCCTATGCAACAGTGATTTCAGCAGCTCACACATCTGAGCTCCCACTTCCTTGAACCCTAAACCCCTTTTCCCAGACCTTGATACCTAGCAGTATAGCTACACTATCCCAGACTGTCCCAATTTTCTTTTGGAATAGGGTGAAGTTCCCTGTTCTAGTATTTTCAATGTAATGTTTCAAACTAAAGTAAAAAAAGTGTAGTATTACATTTCTTTTAACCTGTGCTTTCATTGGCTGACACTGCACACAGAATGCTGTATCAATCTGGGACCTAAAGCAAATAAGGCCCCATGTAGCAGTTTGAAAGCAGCAGGGTTTTGTTACAAATAATGGGATTGCAGGTCACATCAAAAAGCCTGAAGTTAATGCCCAGTACTCCAGCTGGGTAGCTTGCAGACTATTTTGGGAACTGCTTCCCTTGATCAGATGACTGTGAAAAGTAGAAAGAATTTCTCTGGGTAAATCTCAATTTGTTTTAAAAAACACTTCATGGTTTCAGTTTTTTTCTCTGGATCATCATAAATTTAAATTGGAATGTTTCTCACTGACTGCCTGCGCAATTACGATTTTGCCGAAACGGTCTGGATTACACAGGCCAAGACCTTGTACAGTCCCTGTTGAATCCTATTAGCTTCCACTAGAGGGTGTTGTGTTCTTTGTGTGCAGACCTCTACAGAACCAAATTACTGTGCTGCTTGGCTTTGGGAGAAGGCAGGAACCAGGACTAACATCAGATTTTCCAATTGTTTCCAGCTGTTTTAGCTAAGAGGCCTCTGTAAATGCCCACCTCCTCCTCTTCTCACATTATTACATTTGGTCTTGAAATACTGGCAGAGCCTTGAGGCCTCGTCAGATCCACATCCATTTCTAATGTGGAGGCCGGAGAGCCCCGGGTCAATACCTCAGGCGGGAAGGAATCTGACCTGGACACGGAACACCTGCCGGAAGCCGCCACAGTGTTTCAAGAAGGGCAACGACAACGGGCCTCACCCCAAACAGGCAGAAATACTGACTACAGCATTGTCAAGCTGTAACATCATGTACAACACCTGCAAACGTCCATGAGCCATCACATTCAATTGTTTAACGGGATCTGTAGACAGGTTTGATCTGCAGAGCCGAATCCGGACTACAATGGAAGGGAGCTCCTGCGGACTTCCCATGGAGTCGCACAAGTGTGCAATTTGCCCACGGCGAGTACACAGGGTGCACTCGGTGCCAAACCCTGCAGTATAGCAGGCCTAACCCAGACTTCCTCAGAGTAACAGCTCCTCTTGCTCACCTCTCTCCTCCCAACCCGCGTCCTCATGAGCCCTCTGGCCGCTGGGTTTGTTTCAGCCGAGCCCTTGGCCAGTTTAATTTAACCCAACTTACTACGCAGACATTTGTGGATGGTTTGTGGCTCTGCTTCTACACGAGATTTCAAAATGTGGTGCGTTGGCGTGTTTGCAGGTGTAAATCAGCACACTCAAAAGAGATGGTAAATTGGTCCAGATAATCTAACAATGGGCTGATTTAGGTGATGAAGAGCTGTATTGGTATAAAAGCCTTCAGAGACACTAGCTCTCCGGGGTCACAGCTGAAGCACTGTGATTTCTTTGATAATCAGCAGGATCTATCGAGAAATTAAGAGCTGCTCATCTCGAAGCATAACACTGCAAGTGCTGAAGCTCAGTAGTACCAGCTATAGAAGACTTGAAACAAAGAGGCTTTGTCTGGTTTGAAAACTAGTTTTGCCTGGGGCAGCAGACTCTTGAACATCCTGGCATGTTGGGTCATTCTGTGGCAGGACAGAAACTGAGCAAAAATGAAAGACGTGGACAGTAGCCGGACAGTATGTTTTAAAAAACTGATATTTTATTGGTTCAAAACAAACAATGCTGGTTTTATTTTTGTTTAAGGGTTATAAAAAATGCAGGTGCAAAGCAGGTCATCAACAGAGCTCCACTGTTAATGTCATGCAAGACACCAGATACATGTGTATGCCCTGTCTCTGTACTCATACATACACACAGAGAAGAAAAACACTTCCCCAACAGCTGTCTGTAAACTGGGATTCGGGTGGTCTGGTCAAGTTATGGTTTTGAGTACCTTAGCCACTAGACGAAGATGAAGATCAACGACTGAAGGCAAGGCAAAGACAAACAGAGCAGGAAAAAAGCACAAACAACACAAGGGACAAAATTACAAAAGTAAAATAAAAAAAGAAGGGCGAAACAGGTCTAGACAAACTCGCAGAAACTCTTTTTTGAAACACAGCGATCGATTTGCACATACTAGCATCCTTGTAAAACACCATCTATGTCTATTTTTATTGTAAATGACAAACATTGAAATGCATAGAAGAACAAGAGCCAAAATCAATCATTTAAATTATTCACCACCCAGCTCCTGTTATTTACAAAATATGTTCCCACTGTGAAGAAAACTGTACAGAAGAGAGCAAGACGGACTGAGGCATGCGAGACGTGGGGAGGTACTACAATCCACCTAATCCCAATGACACATGGGCGACAGCTGTGAGGGGAAAGAGGCTCACCTGTTCCTGTCATCACAGACTAGTGAGCAGCCAAAGGCACAGCTTTCCTCAATGAACAGAAAGAAGGAACAAGTCCATAGCAGTGCTGTGCGGTTAAGGCACTGGCGCATGAAAAAGTGTAGGGTGAAGGCACCGCAGTGAGGAGAGTTCCCGACCCAGACTGGGCACGGAAACTGCAGGAATAAGCTCCTCCAGGGGCGGAACACTGTGCAACAAAACGAAGGCAAGGGCCGGGCTTATTGGATAAAGGCTGCTCGGATCACAAAAAGGCAAAAATAAAAACACTGTGCAGTTGACTGGAATGACTAAAGTGTCACTTGATGACAAGTGACTGAAGAGCTTTTTGACTCAACAGAATGGAAAACAAACTCCAGGTGTAACATTATCCAGTGCCACAAAACATCTCAACAGTCTTGCATATCTAAAAAATCATGCAGATCCATATAATATCATACATAGTGTTTTGTTCAATTAACGTATTCTGGACTACTCAAGTCTACACCATAGCTATATTGAAGGGCTGCTCTTTAATTCTGGCCCAAAGCACATTACACACTACACACTTTTCTGAGTTATCATATAAGTGACTTCTTAAGTATTTGTTGTTTATATAGGACACATTAGTTCATCTTAAAAGACAGGACAGGAACTGTGCCAAAAGACAAGGGCACACCTGTAAGTTCAGAATGATGTGAGCTAAATGACTCCTGAATAGTCAAGCTGTGGAGAAATGCTGTCACACAAACATGCCTTTAATTGACAGTTATCCAATTATCCTTGTCCCAAAGAGTCCTGGCTGTAACAGCGTGGGGCAGGAATGAGTCAACCCCTCCTCTGGTAATTGTGAAGTCTTTGGTGATACCATAAGATCATGCCACTGGGCCAGGGTTCAGAAACAAGGCTGTTGTGCACATGGCATTAACCACAAAAAAATAAAATAAAAATCAGGGTTAAGTTGGCAGACCTGTGGGGTCTTTGGCCTAGGAGAAACATGTTAAAACCCAACCCAAGTGCTAACCCAACCCAAGTGCTACTGAACCTTGAGTTCACAAAAACAAGAAGGCATACAGAAATACAAAAGAAAGGCCGAGTCCCGGACGCAGACTGGACCCTGTGGCGTGTTTGACTGGCATTTCTCCACTGTAGCAGGAAGAGAAAGCCTTTCCCCAGAAGGCAGCTCAAAGAAAGGGAATGTGCATAAGGCATCGCTTCCTCTTTTGGGTTTTTCCAAGCCCATCCCGTTAAGGTTCTCCACCCCAACCCATCCCACCCTTCCACTTTCCCTCCTTTCCTTGTGCAAGAACCCCACCGAGGGGGAGCCTCTCCCGAAGTGGACTTCAGGTGGAACGACAACCTGCACGATCAGATCGGATCGGAAACGTAAACCGGACCTCCGACAGGTTTCCGGGGCACGTGGGGTTTTGGAGAGAAGGTGACAAGAGACAAACTGGGGAGCTGACAGACCAAGGGGGCGGCATTCCTGTGGGGTGCAGCGAGTGGAAGAGTGGGGCAGGAGGAGACGAGGGGCTGGAGGATGCACTAGGGAAGGGGTGTTTTCTCCTTGGAAACGCAGCGGGGTCTGGTTCGGTCGACGGTTCGATCCCGGCTCTCGCTCCCCCTTCTCAGGAGAAGACAGTACTGCGCTGGTTAGCGTCTCCCACCTTCTCGAAGAACATGAAGTCCTAGAAGAGGGCAATGGCACGAGAGAAAGAGAGAGAGAAGACCCAGGGGTGGTTAGACCTCCACAGCCGACGCCACGATTGAGCCTCCCCACGCCCCGCTGGGACCCCTCACTCACGAGGAGGAAGCAGGCTCCCATCAGCACGGCCTTCATGTTGACGTCCATGTCCATGGGGAACTGGATCCCGAAGTTGTCCGCGTCGGTGAAGACCTCCTTCAGCAGGCCGCTCCACTGCTTGCTGATCCGCCCAATGCTGGCGCCCCCGTCCTTGCCCTTCAGCTGAACACACACAGGCACACGGCACCGCTCACATCACTGTGCGACGCCCAGCTGGCAGCCCCTCTGGAGCTCAGCAGGTGTGAGCCTGGCCAGTACCAGGAGGGGAGACCTCCTGGGAGAGCTAAGGTTGCGGCTGGAAGAGGTGTGAGTGGGACCAGTAGGGGGCGCTCATTCTTGAGGTCCTAATGACCCAGAATAGTGACGGGGACACTATACTGTAAAAAGGCTCTGTCCTTTGGATGAGACATAAAACGTAGGCCATTACAAATATGCAGGGCGTTTCTTGGAAAGAGTTGCTACCCCAATGTCCTTGCCTCCCCTCTCTAAACTGGTTTCATCACTCTGCTCTCCTCCCCACTGAGAGCTGGTGCGGGGGGAGTGTACTGGCGCACTATGGCTGCCGTCACATCTATCCAGGTGGGGCTGCACACCGGTGGTGGTGGAGGGGAGTCCCCAGTTACTCTATAGCGGTTTGAGTGGAGTGTCCAGATTAGTGTAAGGCTTATTATTTATTAACGCACCATCCCCTGCTGCCTGCTGCCGTTTTGCACCCCGCCCCTCTACTGCCCTTCCGGCCCCCCGCCCCCTCTCACCTCGAAGTTGATGTCCCCACAGCAGTTGCAGGCGAAGCAGGGCCCCTCCAGCTTCAACACCGTCTCCTTGGAGGAGTTCTGGATGGAGAACTTGGGCAGGAAGGGGTGCCAGTCCTGCAGCACGTAGCCGATCGTGGTGCCCGGTGGCGCCTGCACCTCCATCTACCAATCACAAGCCAGACACTAGTCACCCGAGATCCCGACCGGACCCCGTGCCCCGGTCCATTTTTAGAAGCGCAGCACCCTCCCTCCTGGTCCCAAACCGGCAGGTCACACTCCCTCCCAGCCTCTTGCGTGAGCAGACAAGACAACAATGCTGTTCTTGTACCGTGCCGTTTCCAAGGCAACAACTGCTCCCAAGAGAACACTTGTGAAACCGAAGCACGGGGCTTAATTCTATTAGCGCATAAATTGAAAAACAGGCAGGCGGTGGTCTAGGAACAACAGCCACATCAGTGCCTTTCTGCACCATTGGTGGCCAAAGCACAGCACAAAACACTAATGCATTACTACTGGTGCAGTGAAGGATTATTCTATTAACTAATACTCTCCTGAACAGCACAGCAGAGATCTCCAGCCCTGGTCCTGGAGAGCCCCAGACCAGCACTGTTTGTAGGGCACTGTTAAATCACCCATTTCTAAAGGTCCAGAGCAATTAAACAAGCGATTAGCTAAATTAAGTCGTTTGGACTAAAACCGAAGCGATCTTCGGCCCTCAAAGACCAGAGCTCCCTTAATCGAACAGATCGCTTGCTTGATTGTTGCCAATCTTTACAAACAAGAGACCCGGAAGACTAGCGGCCGGACCTGGGTTGGAGATCGCCTGCGCCTTGGGGCTGCTCTGCTGACAGACTACTAAGCCATCCCAAAGGCATTGCCCTTCCTGCCCATACGGCGGCGGGCGGGCGGGCGCAGTACCTCCTGCAGGCAGCAGGGGCACCAGCAGGAGGCGCAGCGGAAGGGCCGGATCAGCCGGATGACCTCGCGGTCGCTGTTGTCCTTGATCTTCATGTCGAAGCTGCGCAGGGAGCCGCAGCAGTTGCGCGTGCAGCAGTCGTTCTTCTCCTTGGCTTTGTAGATCTTCTGGCCCAGGCTGTTCTTAATCTCGTACTGGTTGTTGGTCTCGAAGCCGATGAAGGCTGGACAGAGGGAGAGGGATGGGGGGGGGGAGAGAGACTCACAGTAAGACTGAGCACTTAGGCATACTAACGCAGCTATTAACCTGCTGAATGTGCACTGCTTGATTGATAGTCTTATTTTATTTTTATCATGTATGTACCCAAGATTTCTACTTCACTCACTGATGACCCAGCCTTCTGTAATGATTTGTCTTGGACGGTGAGGTTTATTTAAAGCTTCTCTCTTGTTTGTTTCAATCTGATGCATACATGTGTTTTTTTTTAATCTGTTAACAGATCCTGTTGGCTTAAACATCTTAAGCTGCTGCAAATTCCCCCATCTAGGACAATAAAGGAAGTAGATTAATAATACCGCCAGCAGGAGCCAAACTCATTTCTCCAGGATTTTCACCTAGTGGCAATTGTTCCGTGTCAAATCTACTGTACTCTTCTTTCACTGTGAACTACGGAGCGAGTTCAAGACTGGAGGGGCCCATTCCCACAGCCTGATCCCTCCCGTGCCTGAAGCAGCCTAGCGCTCCTCTCAGATGCTAGGCTGTGGAGTAGCTGGCCTCACCCTCTCGCCCAGGTATTGAGCACATTCGCTTGGGCAGTCCCTGTGTGACCATCACCCTGGGAACATTTCAGCGTTTTGCTTTCTGTAACAGCCTTTCGTCCTTCACAATGAAACTTCTTCCTTCCACCACACAGTTTTATTTCACTACAGTAAGGCTGTACACGTGTCTCAGAATTGACCTAGAATTCTTGCTGATCTTCCAACACAGGCCGATGGGACTCGGCAGGGCAGTGGTGAGCTTTGCTGCCTCGCAGCGCTGGGGCCCCCGGTTCAATTTCAGACCCATCTGGATGGAGCTTGTACTGTATGCTCTCCCTGTGTTCGTGTGGGTTTGCTCTGGGTTTCCTCCCACAGTCCAAAGACATACTGGTGCGTTAGTTGGGAAAACAGGCCCTGGTATGTGTGTATCTGTGTCTGTCTGGCCAGTGAGAGGTGGTGTCCCGTCCAGGGTGAACCCTGACGTCCGCCTGGTGCCTGCTGGGATAGGCTCCGGCTCCCCCACGAGCCTGAACTGGAAGAACTGGTCCATAAATGGATGGATGGAAAGCCGACGGGATTCTCTGTGGCCTTACCCTCAAGGAGCTCCACTTTCTGGTGGATCAGGATCTGATCGATCTGGGAAAGAAGATCGGGAGAGAGGCAGAGTGAAACATCCCCCCAGTCCGTCCGTTGCAAGCTGTGGGATCTAAGCAGCGCGCGGAGCCTGAAAATAAGCTCATTTCCTGGATTTCGAAAACCACTAACAGAAAGAGGGACGAGACAGGTGACAGAATAAACATCGGGATCATCTTACCGCTGAATGTAATCCTTTACACCTTTAAAAGACACAGACAAAAACGTTCCGCTAATGCCAATAGAAGCTGAATGAGAAATGAAACACCAGATCGGTGCCTTTCTTGCCGAGCATGCTGCAGGATTTGTTTTTCTGGAGGCTGCAGGGCCTTCCGGTCGCTACCTTTCCCGATCAGGAGGACAGACCCTCGGAGGGGAGGGCACCCACCTGAGTGAGGTACTCCAGTCCGGGGGGCACACCCACAGGCGCCAATGGGGTGTAGTTGGTGAAGTCCTGTGCAGGCCCCCTGCCGTACTCAGGCACTGCGGCAGGCGGATGGGGGCTGACCGGGCCAGGCTGGTACATCACGGGGCCACCCGGCTGCATGGGGGGACCCCCAGGGGGGGGCTGGTACCCCATCGCAAAGCCAGGTGAGGGTGCAGACATGCTGGGGTCTCCATACCCAGGCTGAGGCATGGGGTAAGGAGGCATGGAGTACCCCCCTGCCTGGGTCATGGGGTACGGGGGCTGGTTTGCGTAAGGGTAACCTGCAGGGAAAAAACAAGGCAGTGGGCAGGATTTCGAAATCGCCACTGGGACACAGGACTGTGACCCGAGCAGCTTTCCCCTAAACAAATCAAAAGTGTCTCCCTGCAAGGTCGCTTTAGTAAGCTACTCCATATGTTGACGGCTCTCCTTCTAAAAAAACAAAAACACTTCCCAGCACCTGTGCACAATCAGCCACCGCTAACCGGTTCAGTTACCTTCATTTGGAAATAACGCCTTTGAGTCGACATTGGAAAAACATAAGAATGGTTGCAAACGAGAGCAGGCCACGTGGCCCATCTGGGTAATGCGGATGCTGGTATTTAACTGATCTAAGCAAAATTCTTACTGATTCTGTGAGACACAAACCAGAGGACGCAAGAGATCTGCTGAGATCAGCTGAACTGCAGAGCACCTTCTGTCGTGATCGACACCGTTTCACACAATGAGCATAGACAAAGCACCAGTGGGGAGCAGGACAGACCTTCTGGCTCAGAACTCACGCCTGAAGCGTCGACTGCCTAGACAGAGCCTCGGCCCCACAGTGCAGCTAAATCACAAGACCCAGACCTCACTTGCCTGCCACACAGGAGCAACGCCCCACTATGTACACTAGTGCACACTATACTCACCAAACGGGCGTCACCGTTTCCTCTGATATGGCTTAACAGTACTTCTCACTCTGCTTGACCCGATGCCTTTTCTTCCATCTCACAATCAGCCCTGAACTGAGCTTCACCTTTTCACAGTCTTCCACAACATGGCAAACAATGCTTATAGGTCTCGGTCACATGTCCAGGACGTGCATACACTGTATACAGATCCAAGTTCTCCATAGGAGGTGCCAAGATCTAGATATCCGTTTTATAAATAAAGGTACTGTTCCCGCAAAATATGCTCGACCACCAGTATAAATGACATACCCCATTATATCTCTTAAACGTTAAATAAAGAAAAAAGGGAGGGCAGGGTTCTGCCAAAAATGGGTTTAAGAGGAGATCCCACCCATGTCTGCAGTGTGGGTGTGGCTCAGCAGTAAAATAAATAGCATAAAAATAAAATCTCCCAGCAAAGTCTACTTCCAATACATCCTCTAATTGCAGGGTTCTCGAGAGTTCTGATTACACCACCGCCACCCTTTAAACATCACAGACAAGTGTTCGGTGGACACCAGTGGGGCTCCACTTCATCCAACAGGCATGTGCAATCTTGAAAAGCACAGAGCCAGTCACCTAATGGGGTCTTCTGTGAGAGAGCCTCCTGGGAAAAACTAAGGCTGCTGCTGGAAGAGGTGTTAGTTGGGCCAGCAGGGGGCGCTCACCCTGCAGTCCATGTGGGTCCTAATGCCCCAGAGTAGTGACGGGGACACTATACTGTAAACAGGCGCTGTCCTTTGGATGAGACGTAAAACAGAGGTCCTGACTCTCTGTGGTCATTAAAAATCCCAGGGCGTTTCTCGAAAAGAGTAGGGGTTTAACCCCAGTGTCCTGGCCAAATTTCCCATTGGCCTTTACCAATCATGGCCTCCTAATAATCCCCATCTATGAACTGGCTTCATCACTCTGTTCTCCTCCCCACTGAGAGCTGATGTGTGGTGAGCGTTCTGGCACACTATGGCTGCTGTCACATCATCCAGGTAGGGCTGCACACGGGTGGTGGTGGAGGGGAGTCCCCATTACCTGTATAGCACTCTGAGTGGAGTGTCCAGAAAAGCGCTATATAAGTGTAAGCAATTATTATTATTATTATTATTATTATTATTATTATTATTACCGCAAACCAAGGATCTGGGGACAGAAGGGGAAGGTCATTCAGAACAGACAACAGGAGTCATCTTGCCACGAGGGCCTGAAGTAGTGTGTCACCACCTCTCGAGCTTCGGCCACGCCTGCAGGCAATAGCTTGATCACAAATCATTACGACTCCCCCCCCCCCCGCCTCCCTTGTTATGTTTTTGGCAGAAGCAGCTTCTCATCTCTCAATCTCTTCCATTCTTGTAGTCCAATCCATTACAAAAGTAACTTTTTTTTAATCCTCGACGGCATAAAAAAAAAAGGAACGCCTGCCAATTTCGGATCTACCAGTTCCTCCAGTTAATAAGCAGCCTTGTTGGTATTAATAGAGCTGTGAAATGAAGCAGTGGACCAGAACAGGAATTGCCCCTCCCAGCTTATTGTGATGTCTCGTTAGAAAAGCAGGTTTTGTGCTGAGTCGGGGGGAATGAGCCGCCCACGCGCAGAGACACACCTGCAGGCTGCTGCCATGTGAGAGCTTTCAAAAGCGCCATTTTTTCCACCCTCTGTCAAGCATCACAGCTGATACCGGAGCCCCTCTCCTGTACATCCTCACATGCACTGGGGTGGGGAGAGCAAACAATAAGTAGATCAAACGTATTTTTCCATCCGGGAACCATGCAAATCGAACAAAGCCAGGCGTGGCCTCTGTGCGCAGCGGAAACTCCTCTCCGCTTTGCATCGCTGACGTCTTGAAAGCAGCTCATTTGCGTTACACAACTTTCTTTACAGCTCCTATTCAGGACCGCCACATTTAGTAGCTTTTGCTCGCGCGCCTGCATTTTTTGGAATTGCAAGTGAGTAAATCTGGGCTCCGTGCCACAGTTGTGTTCACACTGTGACTGTCCCTCCCCGATGTCAACAGATCCACTGCGAGAGGTGTGGGACCGATACCTCTGGAGTGGTCAACGCTGCAAAATTTTTGATTTTGTATCAAGTGAGTTGAAATTGTTTTACCTTGGGGACTTGGTCCTGGGAAGTTTTCTACTTGCAGCTAATTAGGTTTCCTGCTGATCACCCTCTATGCAAGGGTGCCTGTGGTCCGTACCTGTGTTGGAGTCTGATCTGATCTGAGCAAGATCATGCAATGCATAGCATGCACGATCCATTCCAGCTTTTAATCAGGTGTGAACTCACTAAATATACACTTGATTGCTGGCTCATGATGATCTTGCCAACAGCCAATTGTAAGCCACTCCACTATACAGGCCACTGTTGTAATGGAAAGCATAACAGTCCAGTGCTTAAGTCCTGCACCCAAAAGGCCCTGAAGATACCGAGATACTAAAGGGATCTTGATATGTTTGTGCATGTTCCATTTTATGCTCGGTACTTTGTCAGAGCTGCATCTTACCAAGAAAATGTATCCCCCCCCACACACACACACACCACTGTTTTCTCACAATCCCTAGATTTAAAAAACAAATTGAAAAGGCCTAATCTATATACTCCATGACATCTGGAAGCCCGTCTAGCACAGGAGGAGAATTGGGCGTCTTACCTGGAGCTGCCATGCTGGGGGGGAAGGAGAGGTCACAGGGAGGGGCAGTTAATGTCTCTGGCAACAAGAGTGGAAATCCGAGCTTTGCTTCCTCTCCTTTTAGTCACCGGGTTGCCTGGAGACCAGCAGAGAGGGAAAGAGGGAGGGGAGGGATGGTGTGGGAGGGAGAGAGAGAGAGAAGGAGAGAGAGAGAGAGAGAGAGAATGGAGGATGAGATAGGGCAGGTCAGTGTGGAGCAAATTCCTTGCTATAAGTGTTCTGCATTACAGAGCCACACAGCTAGCTATCTACAGACTAAGCGAATTTGCCCTCTTTAGTAAGATGCGTTTACCTTCTAGATCTTTATTTAATTATTTTCCACAATAAAAGGGCACTGCGGAGCACTGAGAGAACGGGACTGAAACGGAGACAAACAAGACCATTTCTACCGCCCAGTCGCCATAGCCACTGGAGTCAGTCACAGGCTGAGGGCCAGCCAGATCACAAGTGCAGAACACAGACCCACACAGAGCAGTCCTGCTTCCTTCTGGACTGGAAGAGAAGCATGCCAGCAGCTATATCACCCTGCAACTCACAACTGGCAGCCCACTGAACCTCAGCAGGTATGAGCCTGGTCAGTACCTGGATGGGAGACCTCCTGGGAAAAACTAAGGTTGCTGCTGTAAGAGGTGTTAGTGGGGCCAGTAGGGGGCGCTCACCCTGCGGTCTGTGTTGGTCCTAATGCCCCTGTCTAGTGACAGGGACGCTACACTGTAAAAAGGTGCCATCCTTCGGATGAGGTGTAAAAGTGAGGTCCTGACTCTCTATGGTCATTAAAATTCACATGGTGTTTCTTGAAAAGAGTAGGGGTGTTACCCTGGTTTCCTGGCCAAAGTTCCCATTGGCCTTTACCAGTCATGGCCTCCTAATGATCTCCATCTATGTTCTCCTGGTGAGTGTACAGGTGCATCATCCAGGTGGGGCTGTACACTGGTGGTGGTGGAGGGGAGTCCCCATTACCTGTAAAGCTCTTTGAGTGGAGTGTCCAGAAAAGCGCTATATAATTATAAAGAATTATATTAGAATTTGTCCGCAGACAAATCTTTTTTAATAATCTTGTAACGTTTGCAGCTGGCTTGTCCTCTTTCCAAGATGTAGCTTGAAGAGAAAATCTTTGACGATCACGGCTCCAAGCCCACACCACTCAGGAGTCCCCCTAACCATCATCTGGCAGGAGGCAGCAGTTTTTGTCTTCTCCCTGGGAGACGGGATCTAATAAACAGACGGGAAAGAATTCCCCTTTTTTTTGCAAACATCCAGGGCGCCGTGCAACACAGCAGCAGTCAGCTGACTTCGGCCTGGCACAGCGCCAGCCTGCCACCACAAACCTTCCCTTTGTGAGCCTGTCAAATTTCTCCTCACATCTCCAGGAGGACGGGGAATAAGCAGACAAGGTCCAGCACTTTCAGACCACTTGAAACCACTGCTCAGTTAGCTCGTCGGTAGAGCATCAGACTTTTAATCTGAGGGTCCAGGGCTCACATCCCTTTTCGGGCGTTTGCTTTTCTTGATGGGCGGAGCGGTGGCTCTGTGGCTCAGGATTTGCGTCTGTGGCTGGAAGGTTGCCGGTTCGTATCCCAGGTCCGGCAGAGGAATCCTGCTCTGTTGGGCCCCTTAGCAAGGCCCATAACCCCAACTGCTCCAGGGGTGCTGTATAAATGGCCGACCCTGCACTCTGACCCCAGGCTTCTCTCCCTGCCTGTGTGTCTCACGGAGAGCAAGCTGGGGTCTGCGAAAAGACAACTTCCTAATGCAACAAATTGTACGTGGCCAGTAAAGTGATCTTTTATCTAATAAACCACGTCAAAACGTCTCCCGCTGACAAGTCTGCTCCAGTTTGCAGAAGCAGGTGAAAACAAAACGTTCGTATTCATTTCCTAGAGCAGCCCGTGAATATCTGCTCCGATCATAGGCGGCAACAGCAGATGCTGGACCATCCTGTGTAGTTTTCGTACGAGAGCCTGCAGCTTTCATCACAAAGCCTTCCACTATTCTTTCCAACAAAGAACCTCTCCTGAGCCAGGCAGCTTGCTTTTCCAGAGCTTATCTCCGTTTTCCATGGAAAACCTTTTACAGGGAAGTCATGAAAAACCTCCAATACCCCAGTCCCATGGCTGGGGGAGCCCATAAACTAAACGGGCACTTGCAAATTCTATTTTATGGTTTACAGCACTTCCTCAGCACTAAATCGGCAGGATTGCCTGCACGTCTGCTGAGGGACACTGGTGTTTTTAACAGCCCGTGCTCTTAACATTAGTCACACAGCTCACGTCCGTCAGCTGTGTTATTGATCTTTTGGGGGGAAAGCATTGATTAGCCTCCGTTTCTCAGTCAAAAGGAGTACCAATTTCCTGGATAAGTGGTAGAAACACTACTAGCAATAAACCAACAAGTGAAAGAGGAGGAAAGGAAAAATAATCATTTGCAGTGATGTGCAACCACTCTGGGATTGTGCGGTGGGATGGTAACCCGCAGATCCCAAACTTCCAATCAGAATCTGCGTGATATTAAACACAACAGTGAAATATGGCTGCCTAGTTATGAATCACAGTCCCTGGAGCTGCTGGCTTCTCAGGCATTTCTCACAGCATGAGAGGGGATCTGGTTTCAGGCAGAACCTTTAATTAATCAAAATACCAAGAAGTGTTGTTCCAGCTAACGAATCAGCATTGTTTAATTGCACCGATTCTTTTTTTTTTACGAAAACAGCAACATGTTTGCTTGTTTTGATGCATAAACCACCTGGAAACAAGCCATTACGTTATCTGGGTCTCTTGAAATCATCAAAAGCTTAATACCTGCAGAGTGCTGTTCAGTTGGTCTAACTAGTGCTCAACAGCGTATGGGCATGAACCATTTTACGAGTACAGGCTAACAGTGGCCTGCAACCCCTCTCCTCGGAACCCTTTGTCCTGAAGGTTTATAGCAAAGAGAAAACAGGAACTTCTACTAATTAAGCAACAGATTGATCTGGTTAAGGTTATTCAGAGCTTGGCAGGCATGAAAATAAGAGATTACCAGAGCTCTCTGGGATGCAGAACTCTTGGCTAAGGTAACATTTGTGCAGAAGTACAATATTGCAAATTCGCTGCACGTCATGTATGATTTGTCAAAGAAGTATGTAAATATCTGTCATGTTAAACTTTTAGGGCTCCCACCCCCTTGCGTGGAAGTTTGAACAATACTCTTCGGGAGCTGCCCATCTTGGTTTTCATGCAAGCTTTCACCGTAATGAATCGCCTAAGCTGAGCTCCGGCTGCCGTTCCCTTCCCAGCTCCGAGATCGCCTTTTCACTGAGGGCCGATCCTCACCAAGCCACAGTTCAAAAGGGAATTGTTTGGGGTTTTTTTTTCCCTACGGAGGACATGGGATAAAAAATAACTAGCATTTCTGTGCTGCGTGTGCCCAAAAACCATAAAGGTGATTTTTTTTCTAGTACAACGTGAGGCAGGTGGGTAACGGCCCATGTTGAATCGATATCGAACGACCCAGAAGAGAAGACCCATCCCCTCTGGTTCCATCTCAGCTCGACCCAGAGCACTCCACAGATATCCAAACCCCTCAGCCTGCTCACACTTTAAATAGAAATTTGCCGTCTCACCTGTGGCATCAGACACCTTTATGGTTCCAGAAGGCCGCAAAAGCAAACGGGCAAACAGCAGTCAGGTGACTTCCATCGCATTAGGACGGTACCCTGGGGTCAAGAGGGTGGGGCGGAAATGGCCGAACTCTGGGTCAACTCTTGGCGTGATGGATAACAACATCACAAAGCACACCTCACGTGTGGGTTTTTTCCCATGACAGAGGTCGCTTCTGAAAAGAGTGCTGGGAAACGTGACAGGGTGACTCTAGAACAGGTTGGGCAGCTTTCTGCTTCCCCGTGAGATCGGGCAGGGAGCGACACACACCACGTGCACAGGAAATCTCTGTGCTTACTTCACCAGATTCGTGGGGCGCTGGCCAGCGGCCCATTATTGACAGGTATGCAGAGACAGGTCTGCGGGCGGTCCTGGGCTCCGAGTGGCCAGGCAGAGGAAGGGCGATGGCACACAAAGAGCAATTCAGAACCCGCTCTTGCACCCAGAGTGGGTAGATGGGTGGCACCTTGTAAAGGGGAGGGGGGGCAGTGTGGAGCTGTGAAGACTGGGAAGGTTGTTATCTGCACTTATTGAGCTGCCTCGGAAAAACAACCCGTCCGAAGGCTTTGCTTCTTTGTCGGCTCAAACTTCCTGTGTCAATGAAATCGGATCGGAGTTATAATTTCCACTCAGCTGTGCTTATGGCCATGTTGCACTTTGTTAAACACATCTGTTTTACTTTTATGAAGGGACTGAGCCAATTCGCTGCAGCATTAAATCCTGGGAGTCTGCTTTTCCGCCCTGCCTAAATGCCCCGGATCAGATCGGAGTCCTGGGCACCGAATGACCCCGCGAGAGGAGGGCGTGTACTTTTAGCCAGTTTGGTAGGAGTTCATCCTCTGAGAATCTCACCCAAACTTTTGTTGAAAGAAGCCGGGATATCGCCTTCGAGAACAAGGCTGGGATTCTTGTACCATGCTCCCGCCACCCTCTGCGTAAAGACCCGCTTCCTGTGGTCAGTTTTAAACACGCTGCCTTCATTACAGTGGACTCCGCAGCCACAGATGATGCTGCGCTATTCTCCAGATTGTGATTCATTTAGGCCTTTTTGTTGGGTCTATCATAAAGACAGAACTCACAGGAATAACTCGGAGGTCTAAAAAGGGGAAAGAACACATGGCTGTAATCTGAACCAAGGAGGCTGCGCCACCTGGGACACAAACAGTAGCCAACTGAGAAGGAATGTGTTGTCCCAGGAAGATCATTGGCTTCAGAAACACTTCCGGAAGAGGTGGAAGTGTGCTTTTCGTTCTAAATGAGCTGCATGACGGAGGAGCTTGGAAACACAAAATACAGGCTAGTGTCCCATAGTTCACGCATGCATGCGCTGCATCCGCAGAGCTGAGCACAGGACGGATCTTCAGGCCTGCCAAGAGCACCCCTGTCCTCTCGAAGAGCTGCTCAGGGCTCGGCCCAAGGAGGACACGTGGGCTTCAAGGCGAATTCGAGGCAAATGCATGACCAGCTCGGAGGCGCCGTTGATGGAGGCGATCGCGTTCGTTACTGAACCGCCGGGGCACCGCACAGACTTCCCAGCGCCTTTCAAACAGGATGCCCGGAGATAATACTGCTGTCTGACCTCGGACAAGTATGCCCCTTCGCCCAAGATGAGTCAAAGATGAATTAAACCTTATTAAGAAATATCAATCATCTGGCATGCTAAGTAGTGGCGCGGTATTTATCTGATGTCTTGTCTCAGTCAAGTAACTGCTCAGAATGATAGCGAAAATAACGCGGCAGTGCAGTCTGACTTGCAACTGGTTTCGCTTCCTCTGTATCGAGACCAACAACCGTGTAGGTCTGCATGCCCTGCTGTAGAACAACAGCTCTGGGGGGTCCTCAAGAGAGTCTGGGCCAGGCAGTCCGTCCAGCCCGATTCTCCACCTCGATCTCTGTCCCAAGAGAAGCCGGACCAGCTCCGACCGACTGATCGGCGCAACCCTACCTACGCCTACCTCCCACCCCTCCTACGCCTTCAAAAGAAATGAGCGCAGACCACAGAGGGGCTCAATGTGCCTTCAAAGCTAAATAATTCAAAGCACAGCTCGTCTTCAGAACCGCTCGGATACTCTGTGAATAAGGCTCACAGCCTCCCCTCTCGGTCCGCGCAAATTAACGCTACAAATGTTCGCAACCACGGGGGGGAATAAGCGGGAGAAGAAACATAAATTAACCGGAAAAAAAAAACCCAGAACTCAGAAAATTCAGCACGCCAACATGTCGCAGGGGAGCTGTGTTTTTAGTCACAGTGAATTTGCAGTACACACGTCGAGCGGGGTGTCGGGGGGAGGTGGATGGGGGAGAACCTTGGTCTTTGTGAGATTCAGATCCCCTGCCTGGAAGATGCGCGTTTTGGCATTGGGTTTTCGCTTCCTTCCTTCCTTCTTTTGAGCCGTGTGAACGCCAGGGACCCTCCCCCGTCTCATCGCGCAGCCCTATGCGCCCCAGTGCGGTTTCCTTATCTCCGGGGCTAGTCGAGGATCACAGGTTAGAAACAGAAAAAACAAGACTGAAGGCAGCGAACCGGCGCGCTTAATGAACACGCGTGACTTCGAGACCAAGCCACGCTAAATTCCCCGAAGAATGCCTGCTTTAGATTTGTTCTTTTGTCCTCAAAAAACAGTTTGCCTCCCCGCCTCCAGAAACGAGTTATTATTAAAATTCTTGAATTTTCTTACCCGGATCAGGGATTTCCAGACAAATTCCAATCGGGATCGCGTTTTAATTCCACAACCGGAAAGAAAAACAACAACAGCACAAGACTAAAGTCGGAAAAACACCTTCTCTCCAGGGTGAAAGTCGAAGCGCTCGGCGCTAGCTGCTTTTGGTTAATACCTCCTTTTCTGACACCCCGCCCCGCAGTTTGACGCGAGTGAGCAGTGAGGTCACAGGGTGTTCACTTGCGAGCTCCCCCCCGCCTCGCAGTCTCCGTCTTGCGGCTAAAAAGGGGCTTATCGGCTCTTGAACCCGGTTTCGAGGGAACGCTGGAGGGTGTCTGTTCCCTCTCTGCTTTATTCAGTCACTTAATCTCCGACACAGTCTCGTAATGTGGGATTATTTTATACCGGGAAGTCAGTCACGTGTTTTTTCCCCAGATTAATGAAAAACAAAACGCTTTTTTTTTTAGCAAAGAAACACTGTATATGCAGGCAGTGCGTGGTATTTACACTCTGTACAACTTCTAAACGGATCGCTCCAAGATACTTTATTTCTAATCACACGGTTTATAACGGCAGAATAAAGAGTTTGTGATTGTGATTATTTGCATCGTTATCTTGTGTATTATTTTATTGTTGTTTTTTTATCGTTGTTGTTGTTGTTGTTGTCTTTCTGTAAAGCGTTTCGAGGAGCCACCTTTAAAGGCACTATATAAAATAAAGATGATGATGATCATTATTATTAATAATTAAATTGTCTTACTAGTTTTAAGTGGGCTAGGGCGAGTCATTATCATTTATTATTATTTAAAATAACATATCCTCAGAGATGACATGCGTGTTTTTGTTCTTATGAGCTCCGATTGTCTTGTTGGTTTAAGTAAAACTATATTAAAACTGGACTGATGTCATAATATAAGTCCTTTTTTAATGTTTCACATTTTAGTTTTTGTACAACACCGAAAAACTTTCAAATATAGGTTCATATGTAGAATATGGACTAAGGACTAGGGTGCCTTTACCTGCTGTGTGGAGTTCGCATGTTCTCTTTCGTTAAGTAATAGCAGGTTAGTTGAATTGGTGTCTAATTATTCCATAAGCGCGCGTGTGCGACCTTTACCTGACCCATGCTTGCGGGACAGGGGCAGCATTGCGCCTCCCTCACCAGTAGTAACATAGAACGTGTGCCTGCGTGATCGACATTTAGATATCAGCTCTTATTTTTCTGTTCTACCAGGGGTGTCTATACCGTAGTCAGTGCAACCACTTGTGATCTCTTGCTTTTCTGAAACTGTGTATAAAAAATGACACTTTCTTGCGCAACACAATCAGGGTCAGTGAACGTAAAGCAAATGAGCTTTGCGAAACGCGCCACAGAAGGTTGAGCTAGGAGTCTGTATCCGGCGTGCAATG